TTTAGACAAAAGAAAATTATATATATATATATATACATATACATATATATATATATACATATATATACATATACATATATATATATACATATACATATATATATATACATATATATACATATACATATATATATATATGCGTGATACCTCATTTATTTTTAAAATATACGGGGTAAATATATGTACTAACTAATGAGATATATATATATATATGCGTGATACCTCATTTATTTTTAAAATATACGGGGTAAATATATGTACAAACTAATGAGAGATAGGAATATAACCTAATTTGATATACATTCACACATTTTAACAAATCAAAAAAAAACGTAAGAAAAAAAAGGATCTTTTATTGTTATAATTTGAAATTATATATTATATAGAATTAAATATTATTTTCAAGTCTTTTTAATATAAAAAAAAGTTATTAACTTTTTTGTTTAGTGACACAAAATGCACTTTCTTTTCAAATTGTCGAATTTTTGTTTCAATATCTCTAAGTTATAATCAATTTTATTTTTCAGCAAAATTCTTTTTATAACCACTAGAAAGTAGCTATGATATGTACATATTAGAAATTCATAACTAATATTTGGAAAATTTGAATATGTCCTTAAGTTTCTTTTTAATTTTTTAAGTTTTTAGTTAAATGATAATATAATTTTATCTGATGCTTTAGAACTTTCAATTAAAAAATATTGTATATTAATAAGATTTCTGAAAATAAGAACAAAGGTATCATATTGCAACAAATTACTGATATTTTATAAGCTAAGAATTTTTCATGTAGTTATATATATTATATAATGAATAGTTACACTTTGCATACATAGATATAAACTATATAAATATAGGGGTATGCAAAAAAAACTATAAACACACTGGCATAGGGATGGCTTGTTCTATAGTAAGCGTTTGATGGTATAAAACAAATGTTTTTTTTCGAAATACACGTGAAAAGAATTATTATAAGATTGTGTATAAAAATATAAAAAAAACAGAGTAAACAATTTCTTGAGATAATTAGCATCCTCAAATTTGGTATAATTTTTACCAAAGATGCAATCATTGACTTTTTCTCGTAGACTATAAAATAAAATATTTTGAGTAATCAACAATGAAATCATATTCGGTCCCACTCTAGTCCTAGTTTTTCGAGAAAGGGAAAAGAAAGGTCATTTTATTTTCTTTATCCTTTGTTAATAGATTAAAAAAAAGTTATGAATCTAAGCAAAATAAATTCTTATAATTTATAAAAGATCATTTTCTAAATTTACTAATATATCACGCGAATCTCGATTAAAATTTGTTAATGTTAACATAAATTGGAGCATGTTAATATCAATAAGAGCACACTGCTACAACATGCACTAAGCTACATATTATTTTGTTAAACTTCTTTTAACAACTCTTTGTCGGAAAAAACTTATAAGAAAAGAATCAAAAATGAATAGAATTATAATCACATTATTTATCAATAAAGTATACTTTTCTTATGTTTATCGTGTGACTGTGGATGTTTTTATTGTATCAAAAAAATTTATTTTAAACAAATTAACACGCCTAATGAGATAATTTCTGTCTTTTATATCTTGGGTTGAAGAACCTCAAAATTATTCAAATAGAAGTCACTCCAAAAAATATTATATAGTTATTATGATCTCATAAAGTCAAATAATTTTTAATCTCAATTTTCTTCAACAACAAAAATAATCATATGAGAAATCAATTCAGCTTCAATTAAAAAAAATGAAATTAAATATTTAGTTTAATAACACGAATTTGTTATGAATCGAAAAAAAAACTACACATTATTTTCACTACTCATAACTACACATTGACGATGGAAATAAAACTAAATTGTAATTTTCATGCCCATATGGCCATATATATGATAGTAAGATGGAAGGCACGTAAGGTTAATATATACTGTATTGATCCACTCAATAAATTATATCTTATATTTATTTTTTTTAGAAAATGATCGAAAGCCCCCCACCCCCCAACCTGTACTTGAAATCCTAATTACACTACCCAACTTCACGGGTGTCTCATTACCCACCTAAACTATATTTTTATCTATTTTCCACCCACCTAAGTGTTGACCTGTCATGGGAGGTGTTGTCACCGCCTCTAGGCGCGTTTGAAGCAAAATTTGACGAAAAATTTCCCCCTTCTCCAACAGTCATCTTCCTCACTTTTAAATACCCATTACTTCTTCTTCCCCCACCATTAATCCTTGTTTCTTTAGTAAAAAATTCACGAATTCCTCTCAAAATCATGTAGGTTTTAGTTGTTAATGTTCATTTGTACTTCAAATCTTGAATTTAGGATTTGTAATCTGATCTAATTTCTTATTTAGGTATCTAATTAGAAGTTTGAATTTTCTCGAAATTCATCAAAAATGGCAAATGAAAACTTGAATACGCTTTGTATGGATGAATCAGACTCAATGCTCAACGTTGTAGTGAGATGCAAACATGAAATTTTGCTGAATTTGCAAACTTCTTGATCGAAATTAAATCCGGGAAGAAAATTTTTGTGATATCACTTGATAATGCAGAATCGTCTGATGTAAATGCTCTTACTTTTGATGATGCAAAATCGTTGATAACCAAAAGTGGAGTAGGATATGAAAAGAGGATTTTTGTAATTTTCTTGCTTCCTTTGTTCTTCTTTCAGTTTAAGGAGAAATGGGGGGAAAGCAAGAAAAGGGAGAAAAAGAAGAAATGAAAGTTTCTAGGTGTGGGTCTCAGTGCGTGGAATCACGCAGCTTGACTTATTTGGTTTATGTGTTGAGGTCAGCACTTAGGTGGGTAGAAAATAGATAAAAATATAGTTTAGGTGGGTAATGAGATCCCGTGAAATTGGAGTGTGTAGTTAGTATTTCGGGTATAGATTGAAGAGGCTTTTGATCATTTTTTTTTTAATCAAGTATCAAAAGAATTAAACGACAATTAAAATAAAATAGAAGAAAGTGCATTTATTCTTGATAAGAAATATGGGACTTTACAAAATATATTTTTTTTAAAAAAATCATAGACACTATCAATGGTAGTAAAAGGTAATAAATACCCAATAAAATGATCGAATTGAAAACAAACTAGCTCGAAGGATGTTGCGTTTTAACTTTGTCTTCCGGGATCCACCACAGGTTGGGTTTGAGAGCCGTGTGATGGGTGACTATCCAGCACGGTTCGGAGAGCACTTTTAGTCTGCGCTGATGAATGGAAGCTCCCCCCTATCAAGCAAGAAGGAAGCGGAAATCCTACGGGTTGGATTGCTCGTGTGTCCAGGGGACAAATCCTTACCACTCCTTATTTTTACTTATATATTACTCTCTTATTTTTATTTGTCACGTAGTCACTTTTTGAGAATTAAACTTTAGAGATTTTGACTAATATTTTAAAATATATTTTATTATCATATTAATTACAACAAATAGTAGTTTTATTTTTTTTTAAATGTAATCATAGTATCTACGATCACATTTTACACACCTCGATTAATTTAATAGGAATCTTACTAGAAACAATTTAATTTTCAAATACTATTTTTATCCTTGATGAAATAATTTTCAACCGTATAAATATCTAAGAATTATTTTAGACGGTAAATTTAAAAAAATAAACATTTTTTTCTTATACGTTATGTCAAATCAAACAATGTCACGTGAAATAGAGCAGAAAAAGTAATAATTTTTTCTCCACTAAAATTTTAATATGAAACTCATGACTATTGAATAGTTTACAATCTTTCTCTTTTTTTTCCAAAATTTCATTAAATCTATTTTCTTGAACTCATTGAACTTGGTGACTATTCTCAGAGGGATTTTCCTATATATATTTTTTTATAAAGGCATTAATAAATATAAAATGACTTAACATTTTACTAAGAAGCATATAAAAAAATACGATAAATAATTTGAGATAAAAAAAATACAAACGTTGGTAAAAACCACGAGAGATTAGAGCTCAACTATCAAACTAGACATAGTATGTGAAGTGATTTCTTTTTATTCGTCCAATACTAACACTATCAATGCTAGTAAAAGGTAAGAAACATTCATTTGAACATCATTCATTACTTTTACTTATCTAACCCCTTCGTTCTTACTTGTCACATTTCATTTCTCGAGAATCAAACTATAGTTGACTATGACTAATATGATCATAGTATTCAAAATCGGTTTTCTCATGCCTCAACTAATTTCATGAAAATTCTACAACCTCCACCCCCATTGTCAACCAAGATATGATAAGATGAAACGAATCAACGAGTATTTCCTCTCCGAGACCTCATAACTCTCAACCGGTTCAAAATACTATTCAAATGGAGGGATTTTAGTGAATAGTTGTTGGGGAAAGGAGCAAATTTGAGGGCACATGTGTCCACAGTAAGATTTAAAGTTAAGAATGACAAAACAGAAAGGACATCAGTACTCATAAAAACAAAAGGCCAAACATATATTGAAGTTTGAACAAGTCTTATAGGTACTCAAAAGTGGGAAGGAGCCTGCCTTATGGGTGATGTTGTGTGGGGTGGGTACCTTCAAATGGGTGTCAGTAGAGCCATGTGATTATATGGCCCTTTATCATTCATGTCCACATAAAGAAAAACACCTCAAAATGAGACAAAATAGTCCTCTAAAGTTACCTTTAAATGCATAAAAAAGAAAAACTTTACTATTAACCCCCACACACCCTCTACTCTTTATGAATGATGAAAGATGAAAAAAAGTGAAATCTTTTTACTTTCTTTCGCTTCAATTTGTTTATCTTTTTTCGACTCAATAAAAGTTTAAATTAAAGAAAGTTGTTATGTGGTGAAAAATTGAAATGACAGTAAGACAGACAAACAGATTGAAACGAAGCAAGGAGAAAGCATTCTTTCTTCCCTTCCCAAGCTTTCCCTTTTTGGATTCCTCATGGCTTATATTCAATCAATATTATACTCATTTAGTAGAAACATTGTAATCATCTAAAAGAGACTTTGAATTTTTTTTTCATGACAAGGCAAATCTAAGAGATTTTTATCATTTTTCTACATCAAAATTTTACATTAAAGCAAGTTATGATTAAGAAGGCATAGAAAGAAAAAAAGGTACTAACAATATCTAATGGATACTACTACTATTACTAGACTTTGTTATGGTATTGTGTTCTGTGTGGTCCAGCACACAAACTACAAAGAGGGTACAAAAATAAACAAAAGAAAGGGACCCCATTTCCCATAAATCAGTTCATCTGTCATTTTTACCTATGCATTATGTATTTTTGTTGGTAAGTAGTATTTGTATTGATGATGGCAATAATCTTGAGGAGATCTTCCTTACAAATCTTTTTCTTCTGTTGTGTTTTTGGCTATACAGCTAGAGAGGGCTTTTACTACCTTGTATGTAAAGCTAGCAACCTTTCTGCATAAAAAAAACATAATGAGGATCTTGTTATGTATATATTTATATATAGATAAGACAGATTGAAAGTGAATCTAATAATTTACCGAGTTAATCCCCTTCCCTCGTTAACGATGATCAACTGGAACAACACTTAAGTTTCAGTGGCTTCTTGGCCAGATGTAAACCTGGTCAATGATATAACCTCACATTAAGTGCTCTATTGAAACCAAGCAAGAGAAGAACACAGCTGTTGTGAAGTACTATACCTTGGAACCTGAAAGTAACATGATTTGAGAGAAGCCATGTTGAAGGCAGAAGTGGTGGGAAGCATAGGGATATTGTTCATAGTAGTAGTAGTAGTAGTAGCAGCAGCAGCAGGCATTGTTATTGCGGAACTAAAATCAGCTGCGGATGAATCAGTTGGAAACGCAACATGTTGTTCTGCAGCCGATTTTGTAGGAGAAGAGAATAGATTATCAGGAAGGTTGTGGTCAAAGCTGCTTCAATGACAGAGTTTTCAGATAATTAGAAAGAATCCGAGAAAGAATTGAACCAATACACACTACATAGCAAAGAAACATGAGCATCTTCGATTGGAAAACTAATTGAGAAGGCTTCAAAATATAGCAACATAACTGAAAACTTCACTTTGATAATTATAAGTTAAATACCTATCTTGAGGATCGGAGTCATCAGTATTTGAGGTCTGCTCCTTGCTGCAACTGCCATTTCTGTTATTTGTATGTGGCATCTCCTGATTCTCATTAGCTGCATTACCTAGGGGGTTGATGGGTTCGTGGACGCCATTATTTTCTGCAGGAGAAAACAAATCAATCAATACTTGATATTAAAAAAAAACATAGAAAACGAAGAAGTGTTTGTTCCAAGTGTTTACCTGCTAAGGCTTCTTGGTTGATGCCATTAGACGAACAAACAAAACCCTGATGGTTTTGAAACTGAGTCTGCATATGGGAGGCAGATGGAACACCTGGTGAGACGACCCCGGGATGGAAGTGACTATTGTGATGGTGGTTCTTCATCAGTTGCAAATTCATTAACCTTCTGCCTTGAAACTCAATCGCTTGCTGCAGTTCAGCTTCCTGCTCCATTTTTCTTCTCAACATCATCTCATGCGGATTATAAAACATCCTTCCTCCTGCACAGAAAAGACACTTTTCAAGTGTCTCAATCGAACAATTGGAAGAAAAAGAGTAATCCAGCTTGCATTCTCACCAAAGGGAATATCATATAGCTCCCTAGACTCCATCCCTGAGGGGCTTAAACATGCTGAGAGCTCTTCTCTATCAATAGGCTGCTGCTGTAGATGAAATTGCTTCCTTCAATTCAATTGAGAACGGAATATTAGTCATGCAAGACGTATATAGCAGAAATCAATCAAAACAGAAGATAATGATCATAATTTCATACTTGTCTGGGATTTTTCCCTTTTCTTTGTATGGTTTAACGAGCACACGAGAATCACACACAAAATGAGGGTTGCCTTTGGCCAAAATTTGCTTCACAGTTTCGGGGTAGATGAATGTAACAAATCCAAACATCCGCTTCTGCTGATACGGAATTCTAACATCTTGCACTGGCCCGTACATACTTCATAACAAATCAAGGGCCACCTAAAGTTAATTCTTCATTCAACTTGATTTTCATTGATTAAATACAAGCAAGAAGAGCACAAACCTAAAGTAATTAGACACATCCTCCTCCTTGAATGTACTATCAGCAGGAAATGTCAAGTAAATTTGTCTCAAGCAAGAACTCGAATTTCCAACCAGCGCCATTGCTGAAAATTCATTTCTGTCGGGTAAGGATCGACCGTGTTTGTGGAACTCATCACTCATCATTAATGCTGCCGCAGCCGATCTGCAATTCAGACCATAAAAATAACAGCAACTAAGTAGGCATAGCCAACTTTCGATATCTCAACCTCAATAATGTCCCAACCCAAAATCTAAACAGTATGTAACAAAACCATGAGTTCTTTCTAGTCTACCCAAAAGAACAGCACAGGCTCACACTACATGGAGCAAGTAAATAGAATATAAAGCATCAGAATGTCATCATTACAGCCGGAATCCGTCACAAATTTATACAAAAATCTAAACACTCCATCCCAAACTAGATGGGATCATGCATATTAATCCTCAATACACATTTGACAATGTCTAAGCCATTTCATTCAATACTTGGTAACTTGCCTTTAGGGGCAAATCAGTGCCACCTAAAACTAGGATTTTCACAAAACCTCATGCCTATAAACTGACATATAAATCTCTAACCAAAACTGAAAATTAGTTGGTACACTAAGCAAAAAATGGCAGAATCAAAACAATGCATCACCCAAAAAACCATTTTCAAGAACACACTAAAGTAGATAACTTTCTTCCAAATCAAAACAACACAAGAAAGTATCACTCCAATGCCACCAGCTAGCCCCAAAAATCTATAGTTTCAACTAATAAGGTGAAACTTTTTTCATCAACTCAGTTGAAATACTTAACCTCCCAGAGATCATAAGGCTTGGTATTTTAACTATTCATTACACAGTAGACACAGTAAGCTAGCATTTGGCCATAGATTTTGAGACTTTCATCTTCAAAATATCTGATTTGGCCATGAAATTAGATCAGATTTTGATATTCATCAAATATTTTCAAGTTCCCATAAACTTGCTCACATTAGATTTTGGGTTTTCAAAACTTCCACTCAAAAACTTCAAACTTCTTCCAACTAAAATGCATTTCCAAACCACAACTTCAAAAGCTCAAAATTTCAACACCAAAAATGTTCAAATGTTGAAGCTATACCCACAAATTCAAGAAAACACCAAAACAACAACTTTACTCAAAACACAAGCAAAGAAAAAAACAATCTTTTTTACTCAATTAAAACTACCTTTGATTATCATTGTAAACACTCATGCATCTGTTGAAACCAAAAGGATGACGACCTCCAGAAGCCATAAACTGAGAAGCAGCAGCAAATCTCTGTTGCTGTAACGCTTTCACACGCATAATCTCATCAAGACAGTCAACATTCCCAGAAGACTCATCAGTTGAATCACCAAATCCACCATGCATAAACTTACAACTATTCCCATTCTTACAAAACCCTTTAGCATAATACATGCAAGGCCTCCAACCAAACCCACCATTTTCATCACACCCACCCCCACCACCAAGATAAACATCATTCACTGAACAACTCCTACGATGTAACTGTTTCTCTTGATTTTCCTCGCAAAAACCCATACCCATTGAATCACTTCTTCCACTCGGACTCATAACCGGGTCAAACAACTGTTCTTCATACCCAGAACCATTCACAACAGCAGCATACGACACTGGTCTCGGACTCCTTGAAAAAACCGGCGGTGACCCACCTGACCATGGAGAAGAAACTGGTGAAGACTGAAACCCATTGTTCGGAATCATGATTCTAGGTGAAGATTGAGGAAATGGGTTGAGTTTACTCGAACCAAAATGGGAAGAAGATGAAGGTGTTGAAGGTGCAGATGAACTGTTTGATAAAAGTCCTAAACGAGTTTTTGTTTGATTTATAGTAGAAATTAACATATTTTCTGGGCCAAATGCTAATCTTATCATCTCCTTATCACCTTGATCTTGTGTTAGCAAATAACACATGATTTTTGATGCATTTTCTGGATCCAAATTTTCAATTCTTGATAAAACTGTTCTTGTTGCTTCATATGAATCCATGGTGATTCTCTTCTCTTTTCTTTTGTGCAGAGGTTTTAGGGTTTTAAATAGAGGTTTGATGAGAAGGATGATATAAAAGATTTTACAAAGGGTATTTTATCGATATCTCCGTTCGTTCCGAAATAAGTGTCGTTTTAATCGCAAAATAAATTTAACTATTATTAAGGATATTTTATTGATATTTCTATTTTAATCTAAGTGTTGTTTTAATTTTAAGAAAAAATCGATTATTATTAAGGGCATTTTATCGATATATCTATCCCGAAATAAGTGTCGATGAAACAACAAAAAAAAATTAGGCTATTATTGAGGGTATTTTATCAAGATTTCTCTATTTTGAAATAAGTATCGGTCTAACAAAAGAAAAATTCAGCTATTATTAAGGGTATTTTATCTTTATCTTCGTCCCGAAATAAGTGACGTTTTAATCTTTAAAAAAAAATCAACTAATTAAGGGTATTTTATCAGTATTTTCATCTCTAAATAAGTGTCAATTTAACAACAAAAAAATAAGCTATTATTGAGGGTATATTATCACGAACTCCATCTCGAAATCGTTTTAACAAAAGAAAAATTCAGTTATTATTGAAGATATTTTATCGTTATATTCATCCCGAAATAAACGTTGTTTTAATCCAAACAAATTCAGCTATTATCTTGGGTACTTTATCTGTATCTCAATCTCGAAATAAGTGTCGATTTAACAACAAAAAAATAAGCTATTATTGAGGATATTTTATCACGATCTCCATCTTGAAATCATTTTAACAAGAGAAAAACTCAGCTATTATTAAAAGTAATTTTTATCTATATATTTCATCGAAAATAAGTGTCATTTTAATAACAAAAAGAAATTAGCTATTATTAAGGGTATTTTATTAATATTTTTGACTCATCTATTTCAAAATAAGTTACAATTTTATTAGATAAAAAAATTTCTAAATTAAATGTCATTTAAATAAAAAAAACATTGCTATTATAGGGGTATGATATCAATATTTTTGTCCCAAAATAAGTATGACTTTATTATAAAAAAATAAATAGAGGAGATGTTCTATTAAGATAATATCTTTCGTTCCAAAAATATTGTATTATTTACGCAAATTAAAATATGGATATTTGAGGGGATATTTTATTAAGATAATATTTTTTTCGTACCAAAATAAGTATTATCATTTTAATAAAAAATAAATTCAAATAATCATTTATATTCTATTTATTCGCTTTTACTTGTTAAACTTGAATTTTATATGTTCTTATAAAATAATACTTTAATTGATATAAATATTCATAAAAAATGCTTATTGTTTTTTTAATAAGTATCAAAAAGATAAGATAATATACCTATTTATTTTGAAAAAGAACAGATAAATTAATAGTACTATGATTAATATAGAAAAAAAATGTTTTTTTTTTTTGTGTGGATTTTATTTTTGGGAAATTATTAAAAAAAGGATGGCAAAGATATCAACCATGTTATAAAAGGGAATGATAGGTTGGTCTTATATTCGTGCAATCATTATATACCTTATATTATAAAGTATGTTTTTTTTATTTAAAATATTTATTTTTAATATGTATTTGAATTAATCATATTTCAAATTAAAATAAAAAATATATATGTGCGATTATAAATTATAAGTTGCTATTTTTGATATTTGAGTTTCATGATTTGCTTTTTTAAATTTGGGTTCAGTCTCTACTTATTTCAGTTTGAGTTGGCAAATCAGCTTGAGATTGTTCGTAATGTTGGACTTTAGTAATGATAATTGATAGTTAATCCTTTTTCAATTTGAGAATCCGTCTTTTTATTGTTTGCGGTTCACAATTCAGTTCGATCGAGCTTTATGTAAAGTATTCTGTACGTAGTTGATTCAGTAAAAATAATTTACTTAATTTTATATCGGATTGAAAAAAGAAATCATACACTCTCTCTTTCTTTATAATTGTTGTGAAGGTATTGAGAGTGTGTTTATTTATCTATTTTCGATTTTTATATTCACACTTCCAATGCCAAATTCTTTTTTTTTTAAATTATGTTAAAAACTTAAGTTCAATCATCAATTCATTTAAGTATTATTATTTTTTAGTAACACAAAGATGATAAATATTTTGTTATCAATTTATAGATGCCACAATATATTCAACTAATGGAATATGGATGATGCTAAAATAAAAAAATTTAAAACATAAGAGACAAAATGGAAAAGGAATAAAAGGGTATTTGGTTAAACTCATAATTTTTAAATATTTTATAAATTCTTTCACACGTTTGATAAATATCAATTATTATTAGCCAAAATCAGAGAACTTATAAGTTACAAAATGTTTTGTTTGATTTAAAAAAGTAAGATTTTATCCTAATATTTTTTTATGAAATACTTCCTCCATAACACAACTTTTAATTATCTCTATCTACTTTTATATAAAAAATTAAAACTATATCATACTCTTCTTATCAACCACCACCCGTTATTTCATAATATATTGTAAGTATTATACTCTATTATACTGTATTATATGATAAATTTAATGTTATTGATTGTAATAATTTATAAATTTACTAAAATAACCTAATTATTTTAGAATAGGAGATTTGACTAGATTTAAATAATTAAGATAAAAGGTCTTAAAATAATATTTTGAAATATTATATAAATATATAATTGGAAAAAGAAATTAAGTAACAATGGAAACTCACCAAATTGATTGTTTCATAAAATAGGGATTTTCACTGTTACGTAACAACAAAATTTAACAATACAATACAATACGTTTTCAGTAACAATCAAAATAAACATTGTAGGTATAGTAACGATACAATACAATACAATGGATAACAATGATCCAAACATTGTGTAAGTAATTATTATCATCTACTATTAAATAGCACTTTTAGCTATAAAATTAGTTTCAACATCTACTATTAGCTTTCAATTATTATTATTTAATGTGTTAATCCAAATTAAAAAGATATTCTTTCATTCATCTTTATTTGTCCATTTTAGACTTTACACATAACTTAAAAATAATAATTAATATGAATAATTTATGATAATACTGATATTAATTGACATTTAGACTTAGGTCTTCAAAATGATTTTATAAATATTTAATTAATACTGAAGATAAAATATGAAAAACATAATTAATTTTTTCGTATACATGTTAAAATTGACAAATAAAAATATTTTTTTTATTTTTTAAAAATATTATTGAATAAGTGAAAATGATCTAAATATAACTAAATAATTAATAATAAGATAAAATAATAACAGAAATCGAAAAATATTCCAAGCCAAGGAGTGTTTATAGCAAAAGAGAGATTAATTCAATAAAAGGATCCTAATATGTAGAGATTACAAGTGTTTATTATCTCTAAAATATTATTATGAGAATAATATAAAAAAAAACCTCTAAATTTAATGTAAAATGTTAACTTTATCTTTAAAATTATTAATAGTTTTAAATACATATTTACTTAACCAATTGAACTTAAATATACCATCGATCTGCAATATGAGAGAAATACATAATTAAGGAGTGTTAATGAGTGTTTTCAACACCTCGCTCGATTTTTTATTACGAGTAAAATGTTATTACAGGAATTTGAGACAACTTGTTATGTCATGTAGCATATTGAGAGCGTATCTAAGTTTTAGCTATTCAAATCGAGATGTATTTTTTAGGTTGTCAGTAGTTTAAAAATGAAACTAATAATTTACATCGAGTTTAAAAGTGTTTTTACTGTTTCTCTATTATTATCGAAGGCATATCATTTCTCTACCGAAATTTCACATAGGACCGAGAAAGGAATCATGTTATATGGTGCGGATTTCAGTAGCTCATTTGATTGACTATTTGCTTTTATTCTGTTGATAAAAGTTTAATTCTACGCCTTGTAATCATCTTTTTTTCTGAGATGTTAGAAAAGAAAATAAATAGGATGATGTTACTTGGCGAGATATATAGGGTAGAGGTCTCGAGCTGTGGTAAAGTGATAAATATTCTGTTAATTTTATCTAGAGGTCTCGAGTTTGAATACCCCTGAATACAAAATCGTATTTATGAAGAAGGGTTTTGTCCTTAATATAAAATTTATCGTTATAAATATAAATTTAATTTTAATGTGAATATCGAATACCAAACGGAAAAAAATATAAAAGGTAAAGGTCAAAGGGTCTGTTCAACCCTGTCTTAGACTGCCTTGATAGAGGTGGGCATGGAGAACTGTTTGTAGACAGTGGGAACTTGTGTATGTGTGATGTATTTTTTTTTATATATATTTATATTTAATTAGAGGAATTTATTAATATATTATTTTTATTTTTTCTAGAACTCATGAAACAAATCAACACACAATTATTTTGAAAAAAAAGTTGGTGTGTTCGTTAGGGTTGAGAATAAGTATATTATTTTTTAAAAATATTTAAAAATTTAATTTTAAATATTTTTTGCGAAAAGTATGATTAAACATAACTTCAAACTTAAAAATTTTCAAATAAAAAGAAAATATACTCCTACTACTTAGTTTCTTGGGAAAAGACTCAAATATTTAATTGAATATTTAGAAAAAACTCATTTATGTCATTAGTTAAAAGTTTGGCTCATCTATGCAATTATCGTTTAAAAAAAGATTCATTCATGCAATTATTTTTTAACAGTAATTTTGCAAAACTATTTTTAACACTTGGGCAATTATAATTCGGTCACGTCATTAATTTTTTAAATGAAAAAATTGAAATTCTGAACAAAAATTGAATTAGAATAACTCACTCAAATAAAGACCCACCCAAATAAAACTATGAATATTTTAAAATTTGAGTGGGTCTTTATTTGGGTGGATTATTTTAATTCAATTTTGTTACTTGACTGAATTATAATTAGTTACGTGTTAAAAGTTTGACTCATCTATGTTTAAGACGTGAAATATTGCATCATTAAATATTTTTATGGCAACTGATTGATAAAGTTTGATAATATGTCAAATGGATGCATGGAGTTTACATGAAGAACATTATTAGTACTTGAGCTCATCAACCTTCAAATGATTGTAGTTGGTATTGGAAGAGATTTATTTATTTATTATTTTATTCGATGTTTAATGTTTGATATTAAAGTCTGATTAAATTAAAATTTATATTAAAAAGTCAACTTTTAGAAGATAATGCATTATTAAAGCGAATCAACGTCTAAACGAACTCAAGCTTAAAATTTTTAACTAAAAATAAATGAATCATTACCATCTCACTGCGATTCTCCTTATAGTGTCCCTTTAATACTTGAATGTTGTTGAAGTATCCCTTAGACATTAGGGAGCACAAATATTGTAATAAATGAAATTAGTTAACATTTAGGAATACACAAGTAGATTACTTTAGTAGTGACACACACATATATAAGAGGTGAGTAATGTTAAACGGCTAAAAATTTGATTAGAAAATTAAAAGTAATATCTTTTTGTTTTAAAATAAACTAACCTTCTTTTTCATTTTTTTAGTTAAAAGGTTTAAAATATTCAAAAAGATAAAATAACACAGTTAAAATACTATTAACACATAAATGTATTTTTTTGAACTTGACTTTAATCGATATTTCTTCAATTTTAATCATATATAAATACACGCTTAACTAACGAATACGAAACAATCACTACGCATTAATCTTTAATTAAATATTTCGTTATTTGATAGAAAATGCTTAACTCTAACTAGTGGAACTTCCAAGCAAAACAATATAATGTACTCAATGAAATCACATAAGTAGAATCTGAGGAGGATAGAATGTGTGTAAACTTTATCAGTACTTCGTAGAAGTATTAAAAGACTATTTCCAAAAGACTTCTAACTCAAATATAACAGTACCCGATATAAAAAAAAACAATGCAAAGCCTACCAAAACGAATCAACAACAAAACTGCATAATAAAACGAAATATAATAAACAACATACCATTACAAACTATTGAAAACAATAATGTATAATGATGAATATCAAATTAAAAAAAAAAACATCGTACATAAACATGATCCTTGACTTTGTTTCAATGGACAATTATGTCCTTCAACTTTGAGTATGCACAGATATACAATTAAATTTGTACAAAATTAATCTAGTAGACGCACTTATCCTACATGACACAGTACACATAAAACGCCACGTACGATACAAAATTCTCACCTATGACGAATATATCTATTTGCTTTATTTTGTACAAATTTAAATGTCCATTTGTCCATATCCAAAGCTACAGATCATACTTGTCAACTGATGTTAAGTTAAGAGTCATCGTTATGTATCATGTCAAACAAAAACTACAGTAATACGACTTGTACGATAATCATAGTCTAAAAAACTCAAAAAAGTAAAATTGTGGTTGGGATATGGGACAAGTGGGGGGTGGGGTATTATAACAAATAAAATAAAACCAAATGGCATACGTGCTGCTGCTAGCACAGGAATTAAAGCTTAGTTTATTGTGCAAAAATAAAAACTGCAACATTGGGGATTGTGTAGTTTGCTTTTTTCTTACAAAAATAATAATAAAAATGTCTAGTCTTTATCTTACTTTCTTCTCTCTATATTTTTGTTGGTATTTGTCTTTTCACATAATTGGACAAAACAAGGCTGACTAGGACTCTTTGGATTCATATTTAATGTTTCAAAATTTTTATGATATGATTCTAAATTACATTAATTTGAAGGTGAAAAGTACAAATATATTATCAAATTTTAATAAAAGGTTTATTGTTTATGTTATTTTCGTTTGAGAAAAAGATTTATTTATGTCAATATTTGTTAATGAAAAATAATTTTGATTTTATAAAATTATGATTCAGTCACGTCATTAATCAAATTAAGTTTTAAAAAGAAAGGACTTAAATACGTTATTAAACTTTGAGAAAAGACTTATATGTGTCATATGTTAAAGGTTTGATTCATTTATGTCATTTCAGTTAATAATTAATGATATGAATATAACGTTTTGTCATACGAATGACGTAAATAATTTTTTTCTCAAAATTTGATGTAATATACTTCGGTGGTATCAAGTATCATTTTAGCTAATTTTCTATGAATTACTACATGCATTTTCCTCCTCCATATATATATACAGACACACACTCTTATGGTATCAAGCAATAATTGATCATTGCTTTCGGTGAAGAACTGTTTTTTCTTCTTTAATGCCACCACAATATATGTATACTCTGATGATATATATTAAGTATCATTGTATCAGTTTAACTAGTTTTCACTGAATCGCTACCTTTTCCTCTTTGATACCACCAGAGTACGTATACATATCTTCTAATGGTATCAAAAATTAATTGAATAGTATTTTTTTTTAGAAGAACTACTTTTTTCTTCTTTGACACCATCCATACCTAATTCAAACTTTCGAATTTGAATAATTAGTCATGTTTGTATATGTGTAATTCGTTAGAATATACAAATACATATGTATAATATAAAATTATTTAACCTATATACATATATAATTCACCTTTCTCCCACTCTCTGTCCTCTCTCACTCACCTCTCTCCTCTTCTCCCAGTATCATTTGTCCTATATACAAATGTATATGTATAATATACAATTATATACATATACAATTCATCTATCTCCCACTCTTTGACCTCTCTTGCCCGCCTCTCTCCTCCTTCTCTCGTTCTCACTCTCCTCTCCCAGTTTTGCTCGTCTCTCTCCTCCATCTCCCAATCTCTCTTGCCATATATATAAATTAATATGTATAATATACAATTATCTAACCAATATACATATAAAATTCACTTTTCTCCCACCCTTTTCCCCCCCTCTCGCCTCTATCCTCTCTCTCCCAGTCTCGCTCGCTCTCTCCTCCATATAACATGTAGCTACAAATTGTAATTATCAAACTATAGCTATGGAGAGTAATTAATTATTTTTAAGTGGCTATATGTGAAAGTTTTGCACCCAAACATATTTATGTCAATATTCTAATTTTTTTTGATGATTTTCACAATATTAGATTTTTATAACTAACTAGCATATTTAAACAAAATATCATCACCTTAAAAAAAGTATATATATGCATTATTTTGAACACAATCTCCATCATTTCCATCTCCATTTTCCAATTTCTTCTTCTTAAAGCAACTCATGGCATATGAATCAATACTTAGAGTTAAAATCGCGGAAATCATAGCAACAAACGTTGTAAATGGGAATTTTCTCCAAGGATTTTCAGGCAAGCAATCAGAAATAAGACAATCGAACGAGTCAGGTAAAACGTGCATGTACCCTGTGGCTAGTATAACTCCGGAAGCAAATGCCTTAACCAACACGAATAAATTTGTATCGCGTTGTAACGCGGGAATTGTATGAGAGAAGAGAGGTAAACAAACACCAATCATACTTGTCATAAGAATTGAAACAATGGCAACAAGTTTCAACTTTAATGCCTCATTTTTATTGTTTTTACATCCTTGTCTATCACTATTTGAACCACATTGCATTGTAGTATTATTATTTTCATATTCACCTTTCGTTTTCGATGGGAAAGAGATAAGGACGACGATCAGAATACCAATAAATTTAGAAGAAATTGCCATATGGGAGAATTTTGAAAATTAAGTGTAACAACTTCATGGAACTTCAATTTTAATCTTAATCTAATGATCTTATAAGAATTTTGAAGTTTTAAGCTAGTTGATGGAAAATGACATTTTTACCCTTGTGTTTTTATCTAAGTTAAGGTAGTAAAGAGTGTAATTCTTTAATTTTATTAAGGGTAAAATAGGAAGTATGACAAGCATATGCTATGCGTGTGGTGCCATTGTTTTTACTGTGCAGTGAATGTTGAAATCACTAACAATATGTAGTTTTACCGATGGTTAAAATGACTTGTTATCGTACGTGGCATTACTTATGACGATGATGATGTATTTATAACAATTTCATTTTTATATTCATTTTTATTTATTTTTTATTCAAAAAATACTACTATTAAGGTATGGTTGTGGAAGACATATCATTTATGGACTTTAAAATAAATTTCTTATAATTTAATTAAATTTAAAAATATTTTTAAAAAATACGTATCAACTTTAGAAAAAAATACTATATCTTTGGCACATGAAAAATGAAATAAAAATTAATTGAACTTCAAATATCATGTGATTTAAACTCAAGAGTATAGTGGGACATGATGAGGCCAAAGAAAAAAATATGAGGTATATGCTATTGAGCTTATATAACTAAAAATTATAAGATTTTCTTTTAAATGATGAAAAAGAAACTAAATGATAAAATCTTCTTTTAAAAAAAGGAAAAGGATATGATATACTTTTTAACTTTGTCATTTTGAGCTGTTATTATCCTTTATTATGAAAGTGACTCAGATAACCCCTACTTATAAACAAATGACTCGCATATACCCTTTTCCTTTAACGGCAATGGAAAAAATTAATCTAATTTTTAATTATTTTTTCTTAAAAAAGTATAATCTCATATGAGTAAATTTAATCCTCATCAAACATATTTATTTTGACCTTTTTTGTTTCAATAACTTATTTAGAATTATTTTTTGATAATCAAATTTATTTATGTTTCATTAAAATTCTTGTAAAATTTATTGACCAAATTTTTTTCTTCGAATACAAAAATCAAATTACAATATAGACAAAAGAAATAGTTAAATTTTTTTCTTCTTTAAACTAAGGAATGAAAGAAAAAAAATAAAAATAAGAATAAGAAACTCATATAATTATAATAAAAGAAGTCAAAAAATATTTTACGTATGAAAAACTTAAAATATACCTTGAACTTTGATAGAAGAATCATATATATCCTAAATAAGTTTTTTTAAGAATATATGTGAGCTCATTTTGTAACAACATGGGTATATGTGAGTCGTTGTATAACGTAAGGGCATATATGAGTTACTTTCATAACGAGGGATATATCAGCTTCAGATAACAAAGTTGAGGTGTATATCAGACCCTTTTCCCTTTAAAAAAAATGATGAAAAACAAAGAGAGCATTAAAAGAAATTCTTAACTTATCTATATATAGGTATTCATAGCTTGTTGATTTGGATGACTTAATTGGTTCGGAAGGTAGTCGTCTTGGGATCAATTTCCTCTCAATGTCTTCTGAGTCGAGCTTGTCACATAAGGCTTGCCTAGTGTGATTTGCAGGCTATTACACAGTGAGGATTCACTCAGTGCACATAAAGTATTCACCGCAAAATGCTCCCGAAATTCAGAGATTGTACAAATGGTTGTACCGAATGCGGCTTATTAAAAAAAAACTTGTTGATGATTAAAATTCATCATCTCATCGTTTCTCTCGAATTCTTCCTCATCCTCTCCCTAATAGATGGAGGCAGAAATTTTAGCAAGGAGTTTTAAATATAAACAAGTAATAATTAAAGTCAGAAAAAATTCAAGAAGATAAACGAGGTTGAACAAAAGCGAAACAGAATAGATTAATTTTAACTCCATCATACCCTTCTTTTATTTATTTTTTCTATTTAGTTTACAATTACAATATTCTCATTATTATGAGCTTTTTACTTTTTTTTATTGTTTCGAACTAGTTTTATATATATTATCAAGATTCTTATATGATAAAGAGTATAATATAATTTATGAGTTATTAATAAAAGAGAAACAGAAACATAATAATAAGAATTCAAATGTAATTTTTATAATTTGGAAAAAGATAAAAATGGACATGTACATGGAGAAGTTTTCAAATGTGATGATAAAGGCTCACAATTGATTAGGTATAGGGTTGTGGCTCATGTACAATATTTACTTACGTATAGTCAGATCTCTCTATAATATCATTCTTGATTTCGAAATTAGCTATTATAATAAATGACTGTTATACACCTGACATCATTCTTGATTTCAAAGATTAGTTGTTTTAATGAATGATTGTTATACATACACCTATAACAAACATTTGACATATAAAACAATATTTTGACTATTATTGGCAAAAAAATGTAAAAAATCTATTTTTTTTAATATCATACAAACATTTGACATATAAACAATATTTTGACTATTATAGGCAAAAAAAAAATGTAAAAAATCTTTTTTTTAAAATATTATACAAACATTTGACATACAAACAATATTTTGACTATCACAGGCAAAAAAAATTGTGAAATATCTATTTTTATAATATTATGAGTTAGTAACTTTAATGTAAAATCTTAAGCTTAATCACACTTTTGATAGAGAAGGAAGTCTTTTAATGATTATTTAGATAAAAGAGATCTGATCGTCGATACGATAATATATAATGCAGGTTTTGGAGCTAGGAATAATTGTGCACTCAATAGTGATAGGATTATCCATGGGTGCATCTGATAATCCATGTACAATTAGGCCATTAGTAGCTGCTATATGTTTCCATCAACTTTTTGAAGGAATGGGGTTAGGAGGTTGCATCCTCCAGGTACATATATATAATTTGATCGATCGCGTATATATGTACAACAATAATAACTATGTCTCAGTCTCGTTCTGATGTTTTTATTTTTCGCGTTTAGGCGGACTATGGTATGAGGATGAAATCAACATTGGTGTTGTTTTTTTCAATAACAACACCATTTGGTATAGCACTTGGAATTGGATTATCAAATGTGTATAGTGAGAATGGTCCAACATCACTTATAGTTGTGGGATTGTTGAATGCATGTTCAGCTGGTTTATTGAATTATATGGCACTTGTGGATCTCCTTGCATATGATTTTATGGGTACCAAATTGCAAAATAATATAAAGCTTCAATCATGGGCTTATCTTGCTGTTTTATTAGGTGCTGGTGGAATGTCTATTATGGCTATATGGGCCTAAATTGGATTTATCTTCGAATTTTTGATACGATAAGTGGTGCGTGTAATAGATCTGAGTAAACGATATTCCCATATGGGCATGAAATTATTCTTTTTTGATTTCGTTTTAGTTTTGTTTCCGTCATCAATGTGTAGTTATTAGTTGTGGAAATAATGTGTAATTTCGTATCATCGAATTAAATATCGAAATTTACTTTTTTTTTGGTTGAAGTTGAATTGATTTATATTGAGATGGTTACTTTTGTTGTTAAAGAAAATTTAGATTATGGTAGCTCGATGAGATCATAATAATTATCAGTTGTGTGATCATATGAAAAAAATTAACTTGAAAAATCAAAAAAAAATTTGCATGTGAGGGAAAAAAATATAGGATTCTTCGTTCTTAATTATCGCTAAATATATATTTGAGACATAGTTTAGTCTTATTTGGATAGAAAAGTATATATATATATATATATATCAAGAAAAATTATACGTAATCTAGTACTTCGTTTGTCCTTAATAACTTGTTCATTTTTTAATTAAGTGAATTTACCTCTTTACCCCTATTAATTATGAAGTGGATGAATTAGAAACTTGAGATTTTCAAGAAATTCTACATTTTTCAAAGTAATTAATTGAGGGTACAACAGGTAATTTTTTTTCTTTTTTGATTTGTCAAAATGGACATATAATTAAAAACAACTAAAAAAAATAGACAAGTAATTAGGAGAGTAAAATAATACCTAAGTATAATACTATATATTGGAATACATAACCTAATGTTTTATGCATTTTTGTTTTTGTCCCTTTTTATAGCGTTAGTGGAACTATGAAGTAGCATATATCCTCAATTATTATAAAAATAATAAAATAAAAACATTTTTTTTCTTCTAATTTTTAACTACTCTTATCATTTTTACTTTGAAAATAAAAATGAATTATTATCTATTTAACATCTTTTGGAATTTATCTATCCATTTTTACTTTTTTAACAAAAAATCCTTGAGCGGGAATTCAAGTTGTGATTATAAAAGTTAAATATCAATATGTTAAATTATTGAGATTAATTGGGTCAAATTGGGCGGGTCAAGACCCAATCCGTTTTTAGCCCATTTGAGCCCAAAGTAAACTTGGCGGGTCAAGACCCAACCCGATTTCTATACAACCCATTTTAATATGGGCAACTTTCACATATAGCAAACAAAAAATTCATATTTGTATACTATAACAAACTTTGCATAATTGCGTTCCATAGCAAACATAAAACTGTATAATTTGCTATACATATACAATTGTATAATTCGCTGGCCTATTTCGCTGCAATTGTATAATTTGTTTTGCATATAGTTGAATCGAATTAAAATGTATGTATATTGCATAATTATAAGTGTATAGCAAGAAGATATATGTTTTTCTCGGTTTATACAAAAACAGAAACACAATATATACAATTCTGTTGTATAAAGCTAGAGAAAATTGTATTTCATTGCAATTGTATAATTCGCAATCCTCCTCCCTTTGAGCTAGCTTTTGGGGTGTGTGTCAAGCTTAAGACCTAATTCAAGAATTCAATACTAGCAACCGATCCAACATATAGCCATGTTTACAGTTGTCTAACAACATCGTCCAATAATGATAATTAGTGTTGGTTGCATTAGTTATGGCGGAGATCATCTTTGTTGTGCGGCTAATCAAACATTGTATTATGATATACTAGGATTATTTTGCTGATGCAGCCAACTAAACGACCCCTTAAGATGTTGCATATGTAACAAATTTGTAGAGAGTGTTGAGTTTAGAATCATGATAGAATGACAATACATATGACTTAACACATGCATATCTAATGAAAATACCAAAATTCAAATATCTAGTTTAGATGAAGGAGTTGATCTGTAATTATAGTCTTAACAGAGTTATATGCTTCCAATGTTTCATTTAAGAGACACACATATGCAACCATGCCTGAATTATCACCATACGATTTGAAAGTTGACTTCATGGCGTATTCAAGATGCAAATGCCAACATTTCTATTTTAAGTTTGCGTCATGCTTTGGCATATGAATTTGAGATTTCATGGTTTCGTCACGTTTACTGTCACAAGTGATGGTGAAAATACAACGGATGTTCGTTGTGTGGATGTCAGCTGCAAAGCTCACAATTTTAGATTCTTCAAAACATCATGTTGTAAGAACATTCCCAATGTCATGCTTAGAATATAACACACCTTTCTGTGTAAGTCTTTAACTGTTTTTCTTTTTTCGATTGTGTTTTTTCTCTCTGGATGACCACAGTCAAGTTAAGTTGGTCCAAGACATGTTCTCCGCGTTCTTGTAAGTAAGCAGTCGTGCATCTGTTGTTTATGTTTTTGCAGCAATCATCCCATGTAGCAGTGAAGATCTTGAGCAATCCCAAAGCTGATGGGAAAGACTTCATCGACGAGGTTGCTACAATCGGGAGGATTCATCATGTTAACATAGTACAACTTATTGGCTATTGTGTTGAGAGATGCAAGCGTGCTCTCGTGTATGACTTCATGCCTAAAGGATCACTTGAAAAGTACATCACACCTCGAGAAGGAGGAGTTGAACTATTAAGTTGGGAATGAAAGTTTGATATTGCTCGAGGGATTGAACACTTCCATCGAGGTTGTGACATTCAGATTCTGTTAAAGAATGACAAAAGTCCCACATCGATGGTTAATGAGATGAGTGAACTCCTTATAAAGCTTGGACAATCCTCCTTTCTTTGAGCTAGCTTTTGGGATGTGAGTCACGCCTAAGAGCTAACTTCACAGATTCTACATTTTGACATCAAGCCACATAACATACTTTTGGATGAGAATTTCATTCCGAAACTTTCTGATTTTAGTCAGGGTCCAATATCTTATAAGGCAGATGTTTATAGCTTTGGAATGTTACTCGTTGATATCGTAGGCTTGAAAACAAACTCGGTAGCCAGAGAGGATATGTCAAACAAGTATTTCACACATTGGATATATGATCAGCTCGACAAGGGAAAGGAGATTGAAGTACTAGACGAGACACATGAAGACGTAAAGAAGCTGACTTTAGTTGCTGTGTGGTGCATACAAATGAATCCACTCGATCGTCCCTCAATGACTAGAGTTGTTGAAATGCTTGAAGGCGAATTACAAGCATTGAAAAAGCCTCCTAGGCCCTCTGAATCGCGGGAACCATGTTCGTTGGATTTCAATCTAACTAGTTCTTCACTAAGCTTAACTGATTCTATGAAGTTGCTTGAGAGTTGTTCTGTTTCTACAAAAGTAGATGTAATTGTTGCTTGAAGATTTTGCTTGTTTAACTCCATAAGCGGGATCTGGGGAGGGTAGAGTGTACACAGACCTTTACCTCGAACTTTATTTGACAAAAATCTGAGTGTACACAAACTTGACTGTTACCTCAAACTTTATTTGAAGCTACCAATCAATGTTAATTAAACATTGTTACATGCAACTATTTTATTAATGATCTGGTTATATATATATTTTGTATATCATTAATGTATAAAACTTAAATATTTTTGACTTTGAAACTATCTACAAGAAACAATGGAAATTAAACGGTGCACACGAATATCTCCGATAGTCAGTCTATTTCTATCTTTAACCAACCCTTTCACATGGGCTCGACGCGCACTTGTATGTTCTGAAGAGGCTTACTTTATCTTACTTAGAGACCAATGTCTAAGTTTCAAATTTGACTTCTAGTAGAAATTAAACTTAGATGATGTTGTTTGGACTCGTTGAAAATAAATAACTATTAATTTTAGTATTATCATTTTTAGTAATATTATGTCAAAATACGCAATATGTATTAAATGTGAATTATGTGTGCAATATATGTATGTATTATAATAATTTTTTAAAAATATATTATGCTTGTTTGGTAAAAAATTGACACATTATATTATAAGTGTATTAAAATATGTGATAAATGTATTATCCATCAATAAAACTTATATTATATGTGATTAATAAATTGTTCTTTGTAATATGTATTAAAATTGTATTATGAATGTCTTAAAAGTGATCAAATGAAAGGAAAATACTATTGCTATAAATGAGAATATATATTTTAATGTTGGGAAAAGAGTCAAATATACCCCTAAACTATTCGAAAAAGGTCTAGATATACCCTCCGTTTAAAGTTTGATTCACTAATGCCCTTGCCGTCCAACTTTTGGTCCAAATATGCCCTTATGGGCGTTAGTTGCCATGTTAGACATTATCCAACTCATTTTTCATTTCTTTAAATGCTACATGGAATTGCCATGTCATTTTGGCCTTACCACATAACATTTATATGAAAATAGAAAGATATTTGGATTCATAAACACCTAATCCGATCCATAAATTAGCTCCTTTTAAATTCACTATCCGACCCATTTTTATCAATTTTATTTAATTTTATTATTGCGGTAAATCCCGAAAATGAGTAATTGATTAATAAAAAATAGAAAAATATGAAAAAATATAAATTTAAAGTAAAAAAGTCACAAATAAATATAGTAACCTTAAATCTAATATTTCAATTTTTTTTTAGATTTTTTATTTTTTCGATAAATCTTAAAAATGAGTAATTGACTAATAAAAAATATAAAAAGTATGAAAAAAAATTATAAATTAACTCCAAAAGTTCACAAATAAATATAGTAACATTTCAATCTACAATTTTTTTAAAATTTTTATATTTTTCGGCAAATCCCGAAAATGAGTAATTTTTTAATAAAAAGGGAAAAATATGAACACAAAATAAAAAATATACGTCAAAATTCACAAATAAATATAATAAACTTAAATTCAATAATTTCAACAATTTTTTTATTTTTTCATATTTTCCTATTTTTTATTTCTGAATTTTTTTGCGTATTTTTATATTTTTTTCATATTTTTTGTTAATAAACTCATTTTTGGGATTTTTCGAAAAAATTAAAAATTAAAAAAATATTGAAATTGTTGAATTTAAGGTTACTGTATTTATTTTTTAATTTTTGGCGTTAATTTTATATTTTTTTCATACTTTTTATTAATCAATTATTCATTTCAGGATTTATCAAAAAAATAATTTTTTTTTAAAAAGTGTTTAAATTGAATTTAAGGTTACTATAATTATTTATGAATTTTTGGCGTTAATTTTATAGTTTTTTCATATTTTCCTATTTTTTTATTAATTAATTACTTATTTTCGGAATATATTGAAAAAAAATAAAACAAAACTGTTGAAAATTGGTCGGATAATTTATTTAAAAGGGGGTTGATTTATGGGTCGAATTAGGTGTTTATGAGTCCGAATATCTTTCCATTTTCATATAAATGTTATGTGGTAAGGCCAAAATGACATGACAATTACATGTGATATTTAAAGAAATGAAAAATGAGTTGAATATGTCTAACATGGCAACTAACATCCATAAAGACATATTTGGACCAAAAGTTGAATGACGAGGGCATCAGTGAACCGAACTTTAAACAAAGGGTATATCTAAACTTTTTTTAATAGTTTAGGGGCATATTTGACCCTTTTTCCTTTAATATTATATATTTATATAAGTTTCCCATTGTATAAATACTATTGCAAGTTTTTTTCCCCTAAACTAAAAATATGACTATATGAATGCAAAGAGATATGTTGGACTAAATATTTTTTTTTTAAATGTCATTTTTTAAAATCATTTATCATCATGAATTAAAAGACTCTATTGTGTGGTTGATATTTTTAATTGGTCAATAACTTATTTGAGTCAACAATTTTGTTGAGAGGTTTGATTGGTCAACACATTGTTCATTTTGTAAGAAAAAAAATATATATATATATTCTCTTTCTACCAATTTTGAATAATAAAAATTATCCTTTTTTTGGGTAAAGAAAAAAATCCTAAAATTATCTTGGAATAAAGGGAGGTGTTATATGATTATTTTGTATGCACTATTGTCTACTGACCTTTCATTTATGTGTCATTTTTTTCCCTTTCTTAAATTGTGGGAAAGATTATAAGGCGAAAATTGATATTTATTTTTATTAAGATAAAATATTTATCTGAATTTGTTGTATTTATTGAATTATGAAGGTGATCAAGATGTCATGGAAAAGTTTAAATTTACAAATCATATGACGATTAATTAGATGACAAAGAAAACTATACTAAAAGACATAATATTATTATATAATATGACTAATTGACCAGTATAATTAAAAACTAATAAAAAGACATTAAAACTGTAGAGATAATAAATCTCCCCATAAACAAAACTCTCTAAACGATTATATTGTGGATTGTATCGTGTTCCACTCCGAGAATAGGAATCTTCAAGTTATAAATCTCCAAGCTTTTTCTAAGGAAAAATAAATCAAATATGGAAGAAAATTATATTTTTTTTTCTTTCAGAAAAAATTTAAATATTTATGGTAATACTTTAATTTTTTTAAAAAATAAACTTCAAGTAAAGAAAAAAAATTAAGGCAAAACTCTAACAGTATCTAGATCTATATATGATATAATTATAAGTGGTTATTTTATTTAAGATGTGAATAATGATAATTATGTACCATTAAGAGTTGTGGAAGGAATCAACTAATTAATAGTAGCATAATGGTTGTGGAAGAAATCAAGTGTTTAAAATATTGCCCTTCATAATAAATATCCCCTCTAAATATTCTATTAAGCATATAAAAATTCTCTATTTCTAATATATAATTCAAGAATAAGATTTGTGAATCTCAAAATTGAATACAAAAATAAGGACCCCATTTAGATGGAATCTGAGTCAATCAAAAATAATTATTCTATTTTTTATAGATAAAATGAGATTTATGTATATTTTTATTTTTTTAGATTTTTTATTTTATGAAAATTATACTAAATATGTTATTATTATTTCTTCCACGACTTATCACCAATCATGAAGATATTTTTTTTTTTTTTAGAAATAAGGATTAAAATTTCAAATGTCATTAAATGTATGGAGCAGTTACATTAAAGACTTCAATCAATTTAACTTGGAAAATTTCAAAGTAGAAAGAAGAACATGACATAGCCAAAAGCAAGGTCAAGTTTGAAGGCCATAGAAACTACTACAATTAAATTTTTAAAAATATATACCATCCACGGACCAGGTAATATGGTAAGTACTCATTTATCGTTAATTGAAAATTTTTAAATTTTTTAAAATTTAAATAAAGTCATCTATATTAAAAAATGTTCTCAATTATGATTTTTCTAATTAAATTCAAATTAGATCAAGTCGCTGATATAAATCTAATAAATTTAATGCTATATAATATGAAATAGAGACTACAAAGTTTCCCAAATTATTTGACTTCAACAACTAGTCAAGTCATCCTTTCACCACTCCAATTAAAGCAATGTTTGGACTAATTAGTAATTAATGAAAGAAACTTTTTTAACTTGTCAATATTGTCTTCATTATTAATCTTTTGGTGTTTCTTCTTCTCAAAAATATAATTTTTCTTCAATATTTTAATTAATATATTTTGTCATCACAAAATATAATTAAACTTTAGTCAAGTGTATATCTTTATTTTCTTCTAATGAAGCTAGTTGTCATGTCATCAATCAAAGCTTATTACGTGAGTTCAAAGTTAATTTTATTTAATTTATTCAGTCTAATTAATTAAAAGTTGTGTAACAAATTTAATTTGTACTAACTTGTATATGTCTCCCATTTACCATATATGGAAAATGGAGATTGTGTGTAGATTATAGGGACCTAACAAGTACACTTTAAAGAACAATATACACTTTTAACTTACCAAAACTATATACTTCTAGTAGATTATTATATATAGAAAAGTTTTAATGCTCAATAATACCAATAAATAATACATATTTAATTGTAATTTCAAAAAGTGAAGTTTTAAAAAAAGTAGAATGTACATATGTCTTAAATTAATCTCAGAAGTAAAGTCGAGATTTTATCTCTGGTAGATTAATCTTTGCCCATGTCAAAACTAATAAAACTTATTGAGGTAGAGAAGACGTAAACAAAAAGTGTTAAAACTCAACAACAACAGTAATATACAGTGCAGTTTCACAAAGTGTAATTTAAAAAAAGTGAAGAGAACACAAATCTTACCTCTATCTCAAAGATGGAACAAAAAGATTGTTTTTGATAGATTCTCGACTCACGACAAAAAATGTTAAAATTCATTGAGTTCAAAACTTTAGTCAAGATGAATGTGATGTAAACAACAACATCATACACTGTTTTCATAAAGTGTGATCCGAAAAAAGTAAAAACTCAAAAACAACAACAATATAGAGTGTATTTTCACGAAGCGTGATCTGAAAAAAGCAAAGAGAACGCAAAAACAACTGCAACATATAATATACTATGTAATTTCACAAAATGAGATTTAATTTGAAAAAACAAAGAGAACACAAATCTTATCTTTATTCCAGTAATGAAATTAAAGAAAATATTTTTGATAGATTTCCGACTTACGAATAAAAACATGTTAAAATGAGTTAAAAACTCTAGTCAATGTGAGTTAGCTAAAAAAAAATCTTGCTAATCCAAAACTTTTTTTTAAAAAAAAGTCAAAAAAGTGTAAAATTCCCAATTAGTAGGGACTTTTTATGAGTAAATAGGAGTTTGACCAAACATAATGCAAAAAATAAAATAAAAAATAATAATATAAAAAAATAAATAAATCTACTTGTCTCCTTGACTTCCCACGCGTTCTATAGTAGGCCCCACCATCTTCTTTCTTCTTTACCCAAATTTCCCTTTTTACCCCTACACCCCACCCCCACGCCAACCCACCCCTATATATAGAGCTTGTATGTATATGTGTGTTTCAACATCCTAAAGTTAGTAACTGATCAAATTTTCAGTAGAGAGAGAAAGAGATTAGTTTTAGAGAGAGAAAGAGGGAAGTGTTTGGTGAATTGTTGAATTTTTCATGTCAATGAAACAGACTCCTATGTCTCCAAACAAACACACCTCTAATGTAAGCTTACCCTCCCACCCCCCACCCCCACCCCACCCACCCCCCTTTTTTTTTGTTTGAGTTTTTAATTTATTTTTCCAATATGAAATCTGTTGAATTTAACTGAATTTTATAGTTCTATTGAATGGAGAATTGTTTGGTTTAGCTGAATTGTTGATTAAATATAGAAAATCTATCATTGGTCATTTCGCAAGTCAATTGAGTTGTTAATTGTGGTGATTTATAGTACTTTTTTACGTAGTTTTTTTGGAGGCAAATTGTTATAAGGTGTTAGGACTTTGAATCTCGAAATTTGAACTGTGTCACGTAAATTGGGACAGAGGGAGTAGATTTTGTTAGAATGTATGGTTTTTGCTTAGATATAAGTCAATGGCATGTAGAAATGATTTCTAGTAGTTTCTTTTGGGTGATTGAGATAGTTGAATTAATGATTTATGAAATAATCATGGTTAATTGGAAGTTTTTATATGCATTAATGACAAGTGTTGTTATCGAGGGAGATGTTTTGGGGGTATTAGCTCCATCGGTGGTAGAGTCAGGATTTTTATTAAGGGGTGTTTGCAGGATAAAGTAGACACAGGGAAGTCAACATATAGTATAGGCATAAAGCAAAAAAAAGAAAAATTTGACCTAGCTAAATAGTGTAATTTTCGGGGAAAGGGTGTTGTTTGACGCCCCTTACCAAGCACGGTGGAAGCGTGGTGATTGACTTTTTTTCCTTGTTAAATTGGAATGGCTAAGGTGGACATTTTTTGAGCAATTTCATTGTTGCATCAAGCTATTTCGATGATCAATTGAACTATAGGATCCTCCGAATTGCTTTAGCTACTACGATATTGAGTGTTGTCATTTAGCGTATTCAAGAAAATCTTAAGACTTTAGGTTGAATCCTCATCGGTAAGTCTGTTCTCATTAAATCTTGCATTTTCTCTCTTTACTGAACTTATTGAGCGATTAGCTCTGCTCCAGGCTAACGTTTTATTATGTCAACCACTTCAAACTCCAAAGAATTAAGCTCGTTGAGCCCCTAAAGAGAAAAATAAAATCATTAGTAGACATGTCGATCCTAAAACGAGTTACATGTTCAGAAGAGTATGAGAGATATATAATAACTTTTCTGAAATGTAATGGTTGTGTTCATATCATTTCACTCTATTTATTCTTATAGCTAGTTGATGAACTTTCCCTAGACTTTTCTTTACTGCAAACCTATTTTTATGTTATGATTCACTTAAGTTCCTCCCTGTGAAAAATTCGTGGACGCTCTCTATATCTCGGGACTTTTTATCAGCTCATGATATCCAATTCATGATCAAAATATTTGGAGAGACTCCACTTTTGTTTTCAATTTGTTTCTTGAAATGAAGATAATCCTGTTTTATGCATCTGATTTTAAGATAATGTTTTATGGTAATTTAGTATTAATAATGAGTAGCAGCTGCGAGTTCCTTGTCAACATAAAGAAAATAATGAATAGAAGTACGAGATACAGGGAACGGAAAAGGCACAAGATGAAATAATGTGATCTTACAGTTTTTTAAGTTCGGTCTCCTTCTAAGGTTTAGATATTGTTTAAACTAAAACCAGTATACTAACATCACGTACGAGGGTATGTTCGTTTATTTTTATTTTTATTTTCTTAAAAATGTCATCTATGAAATGTTGCGCGAGTACTGTTGTACACGAAGTATGTTGAAGCTCTTTCTGGCCTATTGCATTTCACAATAATCGACAAAACTTTTAAAAGTTTCATAAGAACTTATGATATTTAATCTCTTCTTCTATGAATGCAACGCCTCTTGTTTGTTGAGATTCTGATGATCTATTATATCTACGACGCTTCCTTGTGTATTAGACATTGATACTGTGTTTTGTACATTACTCGTTGTCTTTGTCTCTATAACATCCTGCAATGCTTTTTCTAAATAGGGAAGTGCTAGTGTTTTGCCACTGGAAAACGCCTTTAGCGAATCACTTGCCATGTTGAATTCTGAGAAGGCTGTAGAAGAACTTATTCAACAGCCAATTCTTCACGGGATTGATGACCATCTGATTGAGTTTGCCGAGGCTTTGAGAAGTATGATCTGCTTTTGCTATGATTACTTATTTGGCGGTGTTTGGAATTTGCAACACTATATGATACAAATATTTTTCTCTTCCATTTATTAGCTGTCGCAAAGGCACTAAGACAAGCTGCTGAAGGAAAGGCTTCTGCACAAGCTGAGGCTTCTGAATGGAAGCGTAAATATGAATTGGAGAGGACACGTAATTTGCAGTTAGAGAATAAAGGTACTCCCCCAAAGAGGACTTTTGTGTTACTATAAAACATATGTTGTTGCAGCAGTTGCATACAGCTGAAATTTATTTATGTGTTGTTCACTGGTTGCCTCTCAATCTTTGTTTCTCTCGTCTAAGATCACCTTTCCTATTCTTCATGGGTACCGGATCCATGTATAATCGTATCTAAGTATTGATCCATTTCTCCTTTCAAACAAACTGTTACTCTATCTTCTACTTTTTCTCACAAAGTAATAAAATCTTATCAAAGCTAACGATCACAATATCTTTCTAGTGTTAGGAACACCAATTACTAAAATGCTTGCTTAGACATTATAGCTTAAATTATTGTCTACTGCTTTTTCTCGTAAAGTAAATAAAATCTTTATCAATGAAATGATGATCCCAAATAGGAACGTCGATTACTAAAATGCTTGCTTAGATGTTCTAGCTGAATCCTCTATTTTTGTTAAATCCCAAATTGAAGCACTAAATGGTTTCTATCGAATTACATTTGTTAGTAGAATCCTTGCTTTATGGTAAAATAAGTTGGCTTCCATTGTAGCAATGCCATCGGAGAAGCATTTAGATGAGAATGGGCGAGTCGTACACTTGACAAACAAACCTTTACTATCAGATGGCGCTGTGGAGAAATCCGACAGGTGTTGTGGGGAGCATGGAATTTGCTCTCATCAGGTTCTTCGTGATGGAGAACATGATCATGATGCCAGTGTTATTCGAAACAAGATGACCAGAAAGGTAGATCCATGTAGACCTATTCTGTTTGCACTATAACTTTCCTTGTTGCTCAACTTTTTGTCTGTCGTGAATTGATTAGTGTGAATATGCTTGATTTGGCCTCACTAGAATTTTTATATATATATATATATATATATATATATATATATATATATATATATATATCATGTTGTAAATGATTTAAATAATGTAAGTGTCCTCATTGTTGAAGGGGATTCTCAGTGCAACTGGTTAAATAAGTTGTTGTCATGTGACCTTGAGTTCGACTTGTGGAAACAGTCTCTTGCAGAAATGTAGGGTAAGGCTGTATACAATAAACTCTTGTGGTCAGACCCTTCCCCGGACCCTGTGCATAGCGGAAGCTTAGTGCGACGAGCTTCCCTATAAGTGTCCTCCGATTGTTACAGACTCCTAGCAGTACTGATTTTGTTAGTTATACAAATTACTTTGAGGCTGTTATTGTCGCAAGATATTTCAATGTCGGTGAATTATTGTGCTTTAATTGCTCAATATTGAATGCAGAATGAACGAGACAAGATCTTTCTGTCCCGTGTCCTATTTGTTATATTCTAATGCTTTTATGGTTTACTCTTGAAATATTGCCTATTAATAATTCATTTAATGAAACAGGCATCATTCAAGTTGTCATGGCGTTGCAAAGGTGAAAAAAGTGATCAGAAAAAACACGACATCGTCTCTTTTGAAAAGGGAAACATAACAACTGCTGAACGCAGCAGTAAACAAGTATGTCTACTTGTACAGTTTTCTTGCCTTGTTTGGCGATGATAACAGAACTTCAAATGAATACCTTAGGCGCTTTAAAATATGCTTTCCGCTAAACAAACTTATCGAAAAACACTTGTGTCTGAGCGGGGAATCATTTGTTTATTCTTTCTCTTTTTCAGATTTCTTTGAAGTGGGAATCTCCCCCACAAACGGTGCTTATATTGACAAAGCCAAATTCAACTGCTGTTAGAATACTTTGTTCAGAATTGGTCAGGTAGAATATTAGAGTATAATCATTTTTTTTATCCGCTTTTGGTCTTTCTGTGAAAAAATGTACTAGAACGCAATGGTAATGCTTGTTTTTACGCTAAACGTTTGTAAGGTTAACCCTCGGCAGATATAGGACTGGTCAAATGATTTGCTTGAATTAGATAAATAGATCTTTAACAGCTAACGTTTTCAAGCAGAAGGTAACTAGTTACATCAGTTAACATGTCCGTCTGTTCGAGTTTGAGTTTCCTCATCATTCATCACCCGACATTCCAATAGTTCTTACATGCTCGGCCTCACAAGACTTAACGATAAATGTCATCCTCTAACAACACACATCTAGCTTTAGCTTCTTTTCTGAGATTCTTGTGTGCGTTGTCCTTTCCTTTTTTGGGAACTTCCAAAATGGTTACCTCGTTTTAATCAACTAAATAGGAAATTCAGAGTATGCTTAGCAAAATAGCAATGTTGTTAGATAGACTCCCTTCTTAAATACACGTTTCCCAAAGGGACGGATTCACCTATTTTTGTGCTTGGGGGATGATTTGGAACGAAAATCAAATAAGAAGAGAAAATCATTACTTTTATATGGGAAAGCCTCGAAGCATATCTAAGGATTTCCTTCATTTATTAATAATGTTGCAAGCTGATTCTAGGTTTCAGTGATTAGTTTCAAGAATCAATGATAATTTGGTAATTTGTCTTGGTACCCATTGGAATGGATGAGGTGCGCTTAAGCTAGCTTGGACACCACCATTACGAAAAAATGAAAAATAAAATGGCAATTCTTCTTTTGCAGTTACTCATTAAGAATTTCAGTGATATATCTTTAGTCACGTCATAGCATTTACTTGTTATATATAGGGTCCATTTTGTCTTGAATATCAAATCCTCCCTGTTATCACTCATCTCCAATTATTATGTTTTTGATAAAATCATATAATCATTGTGTTGTTGGATTCCTTTCTCACTTTCTAGTTCTCGTATTTTCATTGTCTGACCTTAGCTACAGAGATAAAGTTGAAAATAGGGAAAAAAACCACGAAGTTTCAAAGTTCGGTACAAAATTTTGGTTACATATGTTGCATTCCTTCATCACTTTTTAGTTCTCGTATTTCCTTTTGATTCTTCATTTAATTGGTTACATATGTTTGAATTTATTAGAGGCTTATCTATATCTTTTCTTCTCTAGATGGCTAAAAGAGCAGAAAAGCTTGAACATTGTCGTTGAACCGCGGGTGCGCACTGAACTTCTAACAGAGTCGTCGTACTACCAGTTTGTACAAACTTGGGAAAATGGTAAGTGGTAAAACTTTTACCTTTAGATAAAGTAAGCTAAAAAGTGTATATAACTCTTCGAATCTTCACTTTAACGTTATGTTGTGTGGCCAAATCTTGGATTATGGATTCATTTTTTGCCTTTTTTTTAAAAATCTGTTTAGGCTTTTCGTGTGTGGAAATTATTACTGATGATCTGGTCCTTTTTCGATTAACAACTCAAAACAAGCATCCGCTTTGTTGCTTTTGTTATCTTACCGTACTATTGTGTAGTTTTAAGTTTGTTCGCCATTTTAACCGAGAAGCAACCATTTTCTCGTAAAACTTTTCTGCTTACCTAAATGTCAGCTATTACGAGACTTCTTCTTTCCCTTTCAACCAACTTCAAGCTATGTTGCTCGGTCTCTCCAAAAATGATGCTGCATCCGTGTCGGATCCTTCAAACATGCCTTAGTTCTGAAGGATCCGAAACACACCCATCGACATTTTTTGAAGAGTCCGAGCTACATAGACTTCAAGTACAGATGAGCACATGTAATCTCTAGAGATGTTGTGGATGAGAAGCTTAAAATAGTAACAATGTTTTTGTCGTATCTGTTATAATTATGAAAAGATAATGCTAATTGGTACGGTAACTTCTTGTTTGTCGCAGACAAGGAAATTATGTCTCTCCACTCAAAGGTTGATCTTGTTGTAACTCTCGGTGGGGATGGAACCGTCCTTTGGGTACGTAGCTAGTTTTGTCTTTTTCTTAACTAGAATTTTATATTCTACCATGTGGTTTTGATAAACATTTCATGGCGGGAGAGTGCTTAATAATTGCAACATATTTTATATTGCAGGCAGCTTCAATGTTCAAAGGTCCAGTTCCTCCGGTTGTTCCATTTTCTTTAGGTTCTCTTGGCTTCATGACCCCGTTTTGTATCCTTTTCTTCCTTTTAAAAGATTTTCGTTCATATATGTGGTATACGTAGGCTACAATGTGCTACTCTAATTACATCATTACATGGAAATAAAAGAAATGAAACCGAACTCCTATCGATAGATATATAAACCTGTCTTTAAAACATACAACACAGAAGCATGATTATTACTCTTCTCTGTTTAGCTTTAACATTTCCAGATAGTGAGCGTTACAAGGAATATCTCGATTCAATTCTTCGTGGTCCCATAAGCATTACACTGAGGCATCGTCTCCAGTGTCACGTGATTAGAGATTCAGCTAAAAGTGATCTGGATAGTGAAGAGCCCATACTTGTTCTCAACGAAGTCACAATTGACCGTGGGATTTCATCATTTTTAACAAATCTAGAATGCTATTGCGATAATTCTTTTGTTACTTGCGTACAAGGGGATGGCTTAATTTTATCGACAACATCTGGAAGCACAGCATATTCTCTTGCAGCTGGAGGATCAATGGTCCATCCTCAGGTAAATCCTCTCATACTCGTCACTTTTATAACGATTTATCTCAAGCTGACATGATTTGTTTTAATAAGCTACTGCTGGTTAGTAATAATTCTGGACGTGTTATAAGTTATCCGGGTCTAACAGTTATTTTACTGCAACTTAGGCTGAGTGTCTGTTGGAAAAACCCCTCTACCTTTAAGGTAGGGGTAAGGTTTGCGTACAATTTACCCTTCCCAGACCTCACTTTGTGGGATTACACTGAATATGTTGTTGTCGTAGATAGATTTTTGCTTCCATGTTTAGTATTTCATTTTGCAATTAGCACAATGACGATGCAATGTGTTTTTCCATAGTTATCTCTATTTGATGTCTTTCGAGTTGATTATAACCTTAACAGCATTACTGTTATGACCAAAAATTGCAGGTTCCCGGCATCCTCTTTACACCTATCTGCCCACATTCTTTATCCTTTCGCCCTCTCATTTTGCCCGAGTATGTGACAATACGAGTACAAGTACCTTTCAACAGCAGAGGTCATGCATGGGCGTCATTTGATGGAAAAGACAGGAAAAAGTTAGCACCGGGAGACGCCCTTGTTTGTAGCATGGCAACTTGGCCTGTACCAACTGCATGTCAAGCTGATTCCACCAGTGACTTTTTACGGAGCATACATGAAGGTCTTCACTGGAATTTGAGGAAGACGCAATCTTTTGATGGCCCTCGTGAGACGTGATCATCTCTACTAACCATTTATCTGGTAAGGAAATGAGAGGTTTTCCGAATATGACTTGTTTCGAAGCAGAGAGATCTTGATACATATATACACCTATATATATATATAAGTTCAAATGTAGAACTAACTATGAGGATGATGAGTCTCAACTTTAGGTGCTTTATTGTTGTTTTTAACTTAGACATATAATTACAATAATAAGAATATAGAAGGAAGTTTATACCATTTTTTTTGTTTAGTTATTTTTATGCGAAATTTTCGCGTATCGACAGGTGAGTGATAAAAAGATCTATGGGAAGGAATTAGCATACTGACTCGCTTTCATCCTTCGTGTTCAGGGGCGTAGCTATGTTATAGTCAGTGTGTACAATTAGACACCTTTTGTTGAGAAGTATCGTATACATAAGTAAAATGATACATGAAGTGATTAAATAACATAATTTGAATACCTTTCGTGAATCTCTCCTTTTGACAGAATCTCATTAACAATATCTTTTGTGAAATTTCTGGCTCTCGATCAACGAGACAAAACTCTTTTTGGAAAGTCTATAGTGTTTCAATAACCAATAATAGGGCTTATTCATTAGTTCATATATAATTTATAACTAACTTGATTTTTATTCTGAAATAGAGAAGTGCTGTTTTTGCTTTGATTCCAATTGGGACTTCAGTTTTGGATTTGTCACATTAGTGGTGTCCCATTTACCTAACGTTGAAATCTTGACTAATAAATAATATATTTAGTATATTTTATAAGTGGTATTTGAAGAAGGGAGAGTGGACGTAGATATATTATTCCACGAGAAAAAGTAAAGTCGTAATTGTATTTATAAAAGATTTGTGGACTATAACACATGAAAATTCGTAAAATCTGTGTTTATCTACTTTGGAGTTCGTTTGAACTTGGAAATGCCCCCGTTTTCTCCACGAGAAGAACTGGATCCATTGCTAAGGCTTAACGGACGTCCATAAAAAATTTCAGCTATTTTATTTTGGGGATTCTGGATCAACAAAAAATCTATGGACTATAACACATGAAAATTGGTAAAATCTACAATTACCTACTTTAGGACTCGTTTGAACTTGAAAATGTCTCCGTTTTCCCCGCGGGACGAACTCGATCCATTGTTAAGATCTTAATGAACGTCCATAAAAAATTTTGGCCACTCTGTATAGGGAATTTCGGATCACAAAAAATTCATAGACTATAGCAAACGACGATCGGTACAATCTGCGTTTACCTGCTTTGAAGCTCGTTTGAACTTGATAATGTCCCAATTTTTCCTGCGGGATGAATTGGGTCCATTGCTAAGGACGTCCATGAAAAATTTCAGTCCGGATCACAAAAAATTAATGGACTATAGCACACGAAAATCGACAAGATTTGCGTTTACCTACTTTGGGGCTTGTTTGAACTTGAAAATGCCCCGTTTTCCCTGTGAGACGAATTGAATCCATTGATAAGTACTTAACGGATGTCCATAAAAAAAATTTGGTTATATTATTTCAAGAATTTTGAATCACAAAAAAATTCATTGACTATAAGCACACGATAATTGATGAAATTTGTGTTTACTTGCTTTGAAGCTCATTTGAACTTGAAAATGCTCCCGATTTCCTCGCGGGACGAAATGGGTCCATTGCTAAGTTCTTAATGACGTCCATGAAAAACTTTAGTCATTTTATTTCAAAAATTTAAGATCACAAGAAATTCATGGACTAACACACAAAAATCGAAAAAATCTACGTTTACTTATTTTGGGGCTCGATTGAACTTAAAAATACCCCCATTTTCCCCGCCAGACGAACTAAATGAATTGCAAAAGTCTTAAGGGCGTCTATAAAATATTTCGTTCATTTTGTTTCGTAAATTCCAGATCACAAAAAATTCATAAACTATAACACACAAAAATTGGTAAAATTCGCATTTACCTGCTTTGGAACTCGGTTGAACTTGAAAATACCCTCATTTTCCCCGCGGGATGAACTTGATCTATTTCTAAGTTCTTAACAAACGTCCATGAATTTTTTTGGCTATTTTATTTTGGGAATTTCAAATCACAAAAAATCAATGGACTATATACAACACACGAAATTGGCAAAATCAACATTTACCTGCTTTAGAGATCGTTTGAACTTGAAAATGCACTTGTTTTTTCCGCAATACGAACTAGATCCATTGCTAAAGACTCAAGGGACATCCATAAACAATTTCGATTATTTTCTTTCAAATAATACCGAATCACAAAAATTCCATGGATTATAACACATAAAAATCGATAAAATCTGCGTTAACCTACCTTGGAGCTCGTTTGAACTTAAAAATGCCCCCGTTTCTCCGCGGGTCAAACAAAGTCCATTGCTTAGGTCTTCATAAACGTCCATGAAAATTTTTTGTCATTTTATTTCTGAAATTTTGGATCACAAAATCCATGGATTATAGCACACAAAATTCGAGAAATATATGCATCTATTTGTTTTGCAGCTCATTTAAACTTGAAATTGCCCTCATTTTCCCCGCGGGATAATCTAGATTTATTGCTAAGGTTTTAACAGACGTCCATAAATTTTTTTGACCATTTTGTTTCGATAATTCAAGATCAGTAAAATTTCATGGACTTATAGCACATGTAAATCGATAAAAATATGTGTTTACTTGCGATGGAGCTCGTTTCAATTTGAAAATGCCCACGTTTTCCTCGCGAAACGAATAGGGTCCATTGCTAAGGTCCATGAAAAATTTCGGTCATTTTATTTTGGAAATTCCAGATCACAAAAATTACATCGACTATAGCACACGAAAATTGGTAAAATCTGTTTTTGACTGCTTTGAACTTGAAAATGTGCCCGTTTTCTCCGCGGGATGAACTTGATACTTGCCAACATCTTAACGAACATCCACAAAAAATTTCGGCCATTTTATTTTGAGAATTTCATATCACAAAAATATCATGGACTATAATACAAAAATCGGTAAAATTTATGTTTAAGTGCTTTGGAGCTCGTTTGAACTTGAAAATGCCCCATTTTTTCCGCGGGAGGAACTAAATACATTTCCAACGTCTTAACAGACGTCCACAAAATTTTTTGGCCATTTTGTTTTGAGAACTCTGAATCATAAAATTTTCATAGACTATATCACACGAAAATGACACAATGTGCGTTTACCCGGTTTACGACTCGTTTGAATTTAAAAATACGTCCGTTTTCCCTGCGAAATGAACTGGATACATTGCCAACGTCTTAATGGACGTCCACAAAAAATTTCGGCCATTTTATTTTAGGAATTCTGGATCACAAAAATTCAATGGACTATAGCACACGAAAATTGACAAAATATGTGTTCACCTATTTTGAGGCTCGTTTTTTAACTTGAAAATGCGACTGTTTTTCCCGTAGAATGAACTGGATACATTTCCAACATCTTAACAGACGTTCAGAAAAAACTTCGGCCATTATTTTTTGGAAATATTGGATCACAAAAATTTCATGGACTATAGCATATGAAAATTGACAAAATCTGCGTTCACCTTCTTTGGGGCTCGTTTGAACTTGAAAATGCGACTGTTTTCCCTGCGAGACAAACTGGATACATTTCCAACATCTTAACGAAGGTCCACAAAAAATTTCTGCCATTTTATTACAAAATAAATTTAGGGAGATAATAGAACTTTAGTGTAGTATAAATATGTCTTTGAGATTTCGGACATAGGTTTAAGGGGTAAGACAATTAACTATTTTGAAATTATACCCTAAAAACTTATTAATAAAAGAAATTTTAACAACTCTCTTAAACATTAAGCTATTTACTTATTTCAAACTGTAAAAAAAGTCCAACTTGATATCTACATTAGATAAATAATCACTCCTTTAAAGCATTATTTTTTTTGTCAAACTTTTTTAAAGATAATTTTGTCTTTGTAAAGATATTTTTCAAGGAAAAGTTATTTCTCTTTCATTTATTACATATACCAAGCAAAATTGAACTGTTCTATTTAATATAAACTATTGTATGTAAGAGACCAAAAAACCTAGTATTCAACTTTGTTCCTTTTTGTCAATTCTTTTTTAATACTTAAATTCGTATAAAATTAAACAAAAAGATATACATATATGGGGTATCTTATATAACAATGTGAAGCCTATATGATATCTTATGTGTATTGTATCACGTAAAATTTATGTGTATATATTTAATTTTATATAAATTTAAGTATATATTTATGTAAATTAAAGTATATAAATATAAAGTGAAACCGGTTAAAAGGTATATTATTGAAAAAGATACCTAAATATACAATATATTTTATTATATTTTTTAATATTTCATACCATTTAAAAAGAAACTATAAAAATCTCTATTCTACGTGATGTATTAGTAGGTTACATCACTTTATGCAATGTACCGATCAGATACATCACTCTATCCGATGTACCGATCAGATATATCACTTTACGAGATGTATTAATCAAATACATCACGGTGCAGTGATGTACACGATATATCGAGACGTTAACCTACGCGATGTGTAATTGGTAGTTCTAGAACATTTCAATTGTTGATAATTAAGTTTTCACGGGATACATCTCCTATGTGTCCCACCTAAGTGGAGTTACGGAGTGTGTAACGTAAGTCAAAAGGTGTATAAAATTATAAAAAAGAATGAATTCAAAAGAAACAGGACCTTAGATTAGTTAAGACGTGTTTCTGAGATTTCAGTTATAGTTTAGAAGGTTACTTACGTCTAATCCCATTAATTCTAGTAAGGACCAAATATATAAATCAATGACAATGAGAATAAGAATAATAAAGTAAAAGAAAAAAAAAGACTTCTTATTCCTCGAAAGTGATATACAAGTTTGAGGTATATTTAGATATGAATTATAATGCAGAAAGTATCTTTATTTATAGGCAAAATTAACTTGATCTTCAACAGGAATTCCTTAGTTTTCTCCAACGAATAAACCTCCGATATTCACTATAATATGAATATGTTTACAACATCTCAACAACAAACTTGATCTTCAACGGAAATTCCTTAGTTTTCTCCGACGAAATCTCTCATATTCACTATATTAATATAAATATGTTTACAACATCTTAACTATTTTTAATGAATAAATCTTTTATTATCCAAAAGAAATTCTCTCTTATCGTTCTTTATTATTTTAGCTATTTCAAAATAAGTGAATTATTAAGACAATGCATACCATTAAAAAAAATAAGTTTAGAACATAAAATTAAACATCACTTTTCACTTTTGTCCTTTTAATTATTTTCAAACTATTCTTAAAAATATAAAATAATTTAAAGAAAAAATTATCAATATGAACAATTAGCTCCTTATAACCTAAAAAATTATACATTAAAAAATAAAAATAAAAGGAAATTTTAAGAACTCTTTTGGACACTATGCTATTTATTTTTTTTAAATTGTAAAAAAGTCCAACTTGATAACTACATTAGATAAAATAATCACTCCTTTTTGGTCAAAACCTTTTTAAAGCTAATTTTGTCTTTATAAAGATATTTTTCAAGGAAAAGTTATTTCTAATTCATTTATTATATATAGCAAGCAAAATTGAAGTGTGCCATTAATAAACTATAGTACGTAAGAGACCAAAAAAGCTAGTATTCAACGTTTATGTTACTTTTGTCAATTCTAATCTAATTTTTAAATTCATATAAAATTAAATAAACAAATATACATGTTTTATATAACAGTATGAAGCTTATACGATATTTTATATGTATTATGTGGTATCTTATATAACAGTATGATACATTGCGTAAGGTGATGTATCTTATACAACATTTATACAAATTTAAGTATTTATTTATATAAGATATAAATGTGAAATGAGACCAAGTTAAAATATGACGCTCATTGAAAAATTATTTGAATATACGAATTATTTTATTATATCCATTAAAATTCCATACCATTTAAAAAAACCACAAAAATCTCTACTTTACGTGATGTATCAGTCGGATACATCACTTTATCCGATGTTACCAGTCCGACGCATCCACTTTGCGTGATATATCAGTCGGATACATCACCTTACGCAATGTATTATTCGGATACATCACTTTATCCGATGTTACTAGTCACATACACGCGATGTATCAGTCATATATATATCACTTCACGATATAGTAGAACGTACGCGATGTATTCTACGATGTATTATCCAGATATATCACTTTATACAACGTGTCAGGACGTTGAGTGATGTATTCGAAATCGAGATCTGATGTGTCAGTACATTGAGGAATGTATCCCAAATTAAAACGCGATATGTTAGAACGTCTTACGATGTATTCAAATTCCATCAAACACTATGAAATTTGTGTAAAACCTATCGTATTTTTATATATCATACTTTAATAAAATTTTATATCTTTCCGTGTATATCTCTTTTGTCGGCTTTTACACCACTCAGTCTTCTACACAGAGTGCTGTTAGGTGAAAAAAAAGAAAGAGAGAGCTCACAAAAATGGCGATGAGAACAGTATGTGTAACAGGAGCTTCAGGCTACATAGCTTCATGGCTAGTCAAATTTTTGCTTCAGCGTGGTTATACTGTTAAAGCTACTGTTCGCGATCTCAGTTTGTACTCTTTATCTTCATTTTCCCTTGAATAGAATCGTGAAAAAAATGGATTTCTGAAGTTATGTGATTATTTGTGTTTTTTTTCATAGTATATGGACATTTGAATGATTTGTTGTTCGATTTCTGTAATTTTAGTTTTTTAGATTAGCTAGGGCTAATTTTTTTTTTTTTTGAGAATGACTGGTTTGATAATTTTATGATTGTTTGATTATTGGATGTTAATTACATACATATGGAGGGAGATGGTAGGATGTAGATAGATCGTAGCTTGTAGATGTAGATAGATCGTAGCTTGTAGATGTAGATAGGTTATTTCAGAAATAATGTAGTAAATTTACATAGTGTTGAGTTAGATTAAGATGATTATGCCTTAAATGTGTAGATAAAGCGGAAGTGATTGTGATCCTTTTGATTTTCGTTGCTTACACATATTTGAATGATTTGGTGTTCATTTTGTGTAGTTTTAGTCAGTTGCTCGGACTCTTCAATGATGTCAAGGGGTGCGTGTCGGATTCGCTGAAAGTAGTGATTTTTGGAGAATTCGAGACGGGTGCGGCATTGAAAGTGAAGAGTCTGTGCAACTTAGGTTTTAGTTTATTTTAATTTGAAGGGTACTAGAAATTTGAGAACACTGCAATTGTTGATATTTATGCTTTGCTTTCGCTTTCTGTCTTTTTTACTGTTGGAATAGTTTTCTGAGAATGACTGGTTTAATAATATTATAGTATTTGTTAATTGTTGGATGGTAAGAACAACAATACCATACTCGGTGTAATAACACAATGTAGGGGTCCGGGCACAATGTACATAGACCTTACTGTAGCTTGTAGAAGTAGAGAGGCTTGACTTAAAATCTGATGTAATAATTCTTTTAGTATTGAGTTAGCCTAAGATTGTTTGATTATGCCTTAAATATGTAGATAATGTTTGTAAGCTAGTTTGACCCTACTTTGTGCTTTTATATTGTGTTCTTTAATGTAATATTTTTTTTTTATTTGAATCCACCTGCAGATGATCAAAAAAAGGTAGATCACTTGACATCCCTGGATGGAGCTAAGGAGAGACTCCACTTGTTCAAAGCGGACCTACTGGAAGAAGGTTCCTTTGATGCTGTTGTTGAGGGGTGTGAAGGCGTGTTTCATACAGCATCTCCTTTTTACCTTGGAGTCAAGGATCCACAGGTTCCTCACTCAATTTTCTTGATTAATATGGTTTTGACCTGTATTGCTGAGAATCTATTAAAGTTTCCCCTGGTGCATGTTGGATACGTCAAAACTAGTGTGTTTTGGAGGATCTGAAATGGTTGTGACAACATTTTTGTATAGTCTAAGCAACATAGGTGTTGACGTCTACCTTTGCTAGCTTACTCTTTTGGAATTCATAGTTAGTCTTGTTATAGCTTTCCTTTGTTATTCACTAATTTTTGTTCTTTCTGCTATTACCAAAGTTATTTTTCAAATTGTTATGGTACTTCTCTGTCGCGGGCAAAGTGCTCAACACGTTTGAGCCTTGTTTCAGGGCCTATGTTTGCCTGTGACAACACTGAGCTATAGTACTGTATTTTAAGATACTGTCTTGAAGGCTTACTGTTGTTCACCTTTATTAGGTAAACGTAAGAAAATCTTACCTACCAAAACTGGTGGTTGTCATCTTGGAACCGTTCGTCCTATTTCTCTGTTCTAGTCTTTGGTTCTTCCATATGTTGATGTAATGGATTAGACCTATTGTTAACGTGCAGGTGGAGATGATTGATCCTGCACTGAAGGGGACACTTAATGTTCTTGGATCAGTTGCAAAGACACCATCTGTTAGAAGAGTGGTCTTGACATCATCTGTTGCAGCAGTTGCTTTCAATGGCAAGCCAAGAACCCCTGAAGTGGTGGTTGATGAAACATGGTGGTCAGATCCTGACTTTTGCAGAGAATCACAGGTGCTGTTCTTAACTTTTTGTTTTCCATATGCAGCTCCGTTGTTTCATAATCCGTTGAGCAATATAAAATATAACTAGTTGACAATTACTGCTAATCTGTTTATTCCTTTTTCTTTGGATTGGATCTACGTAAATTTGAACACAGTTGAATTCAGTTCTAGTATCACCTGAATATTCCATTTCCTTTTAACAATTGAACCATTTATATATTTGATCAAAGACGTTACGTTAAGTGTTCCATTTACATCTTACACATTCTTGTCGAAACATTTAAATCAGAAATGCTCATTATAATCATCTTAACTGGTGCTCAATCATTTCTGTTTGTATCTTTATACACTAATCTTCTTTTGGGGGAGATCCTGGTGATAGCTCTTTTTGGAGCTAATTATGGACTTATCTGTTGTTGCTTTTACCAGCTCTGGTATGTGCTTTCGAAGACATTAGCTGAGGATGCTGCGTGGAAGTTTGTGAAAGAGAAAGCTTTCGATATGGTTACAATAAACCCAGCAATGGTTATAGGCGGTTTGTTGCAACCAACGCTTAATACAAGTGCTGCTGCTATCTTACAACTGCTAAATGGTATGCTTTATCTTAAAGCAGCTGATTTGTCTTTGATCTCATCATCTGAACTTAGTTGTTTTATTTTTGGTCCTGTTCATGTTACGACAATATGTTTGAATTCATTGGTAAAGTTTAATTTTGCTCTGCTGCAGGTTCTGAAACATACCCAAATTCTACATTTGGTTGGGTTAACGTGAAAGATGTCGCCCTTGCACATATTCTGGCATTTGAAAACCCTTCAGCTAATGGTAGATATTTAATGGTGGAGTCAGTTGCACACTACTCTGAGATAGTTAAGATATTACGCGAGCTTTACCCTACACTGAAGCTTCCAGAAAAGTAAGTTTCTTCTACGTGTAATATCTTCGATAAGATTTTTCTTTGTGAAATGTGCTTCTTTGTTTTTGACGTGCCGTGTTTCTCAAAGTGCATAAAGCTAGAGCGACTAGTAGAGGTTTACTTTAAATTCTTTTCTTGGCTCAAAGTTTTCGGTTGAACTCTCCAGGTGTGCTGATGATAAGCCATTTACGCCAACGTACCAGGTTAACGTAGAAAGAGCCAAAAAATTGGGTATTGAATTCATTCCTTTGGCGGAAAGCGTCAAGGAAACAGCTGAAAGCTTGAAAGAGAAGAAGTTTTACTGAAATGCTTAGCCTTATTGTGAATGAATCTGGAAATTGTAGAGAACATGCTTATGTACACCTTCATGTTTTACTAAAACCTTTCGTATTATGTCGTTTTGTGATCCGCAACTTTAATGGTGTCGTTAAGTTTAAACATTCCGTGGATGTAGTTGAATCAAAGATACGATCGATGTGATCTTGTGTTTGGAGGTTACAAGTGTTTGTGCATTTGGTTTTGGCTTGTTGTTTATGTTATGTGCAAGATCTGTACCAGGATGGTTCTGTATGTTTTTCTTCTCTTTTTGATAATGGTGTAACGGTCGACATGGCCGCATTTCAAGTATTTCACGGGATACCTGCTATCTCAACTGGTATCATATTTCACTTGATAACCCCACATTCTCTCAGAGCTATGGGAAAATTTCATGCATAGCCATTCATAAATAGCCTAATTACTCTTCATTACTATAGTTTGATCATTACAATTCATAGCTACATGTTATAGGGAGGAGAGAGATTAGGAGATAAAAGAGGGAGGGGAGGGGGGGGGGGGAGAGAGAGGTGAATTGTATACGTATATTGGTGGTTAGATAATTGTATATTATACAAATGTATTTGTATATATGGCAAGAGATTGGGAGAGGAACGAAAGAGGTGAGTGAGAGAGGGCAGGGAGTGGGAAAGAGATGACCTGTATGTATATCGGTTAGATAATTATATATTATACATATGCATTTGCATATATGGCAAGAGAGATTGGGAGAGAGAGGAGAGAGGCGAGCGAGAGAGGGCAGAGATGTGAATTTTATATGTATATCGATTAGATAATTGTGTATTATGCATATGTATTTGTATATTCTGACTAATTATACATATACAGACGTAACTAATTATACAAACTCGAAGTCAACTCACATAATTAATGTATAATGTTAGTCGCGACTGATAATTATAACAAATTATAACTATGATGAATAATTAAATAGTATAAATTTACTTAATCGCGTAACTACACTACACCTCGTCTCACCACTCCGAAGAATATAGATCCATCCGATCGATGAACACTCAAACCGAACTCGCCCATCCTTTTTCCTATTTTAAATTGGAATAAATATGAAGTGTTGATGGTGCATAAATAACTAAGCTAATTGTTAATTACATGGTTTTACATATTATTTAGCAAAGGAATATATTCTTGCAAGGATTTAGGTAAGTTGAGCTACAAAGTACTGAATGATACGTCTATCTATTTTTGGTATAGAGGTTAAAAGTACAATGAAATGGATGAAGTACAAATGATGCATTAATTTCGAAATTAGATATGTCAGCTCTAAAACACAAAGTTAAGAATATATCAATCCGTTTCCTTCCGTTTATTTTAACAATTTAGAAAGAAAAGAAAAGAATTTTATTTTTTGAAATGGAGAGAACAGGGTTGGTTCGGTTTGATTTGATTTTATGTATTATCAATTTTAAATATGTCAAATCAATAATCAAATGAGATATTTTTTATCGGTCTTTGGTTTCGGTCCTTAACAATTTGATTTTTTGTTTAATAAGAAAATACTTATAACTAAATATATGACTTTTCTAATAAATTTGATGCGAAAACACAATAATGTAACTTTACAAATGAGCATATAATAGAAACAATAATAACAAACCTGAAAAGAACTAATTAAGAGGAATACGGTTTTATTCAAATTTTAACATTTTTTATAATGTGTAATTGTGAAATCAAAGTCTTTGTGAAATGTGAATTGAAGGTTAATCGACAAAGATAATAACTACTAAGGTATTGAGATTAATATTTATGTACAAGTAAAGATAGTAAATTACTAGTCTTAGCCGATATTAAAAATCAATATCGAATCAATAATTCAATAATTTTTTTTTATAAAATCATTAAAAAAAACATATTATGAACCAATAACACTTTTATCGATTCTATTTATCAATCAATTCGATTTTTGTACACCCTAATAATCAGTGGCGAAATCATGATTTTCACAAAGAGTGTCCAAGTGCTAAATTGAATATGCTCTTCTTAAAATGTGACAAGAAAAAAATTGTTACTAGTGAAATTCGAGCACACAAACACTTTAAATTTGTGCATCTTTACTCTTTCAAGGCGCCTATAACCACTAGATTACATCATATTGTCATGTCAAGAACGTCCAAAATATATTATTTTTATTTATATATACTGCTAATATTTCGACGAAAGTTGTCCAACACAAGTACGGCTACGACACTACTACTAATATTTTGACGAAGGGTGTCCAACACAAGTACGGCTACGACACTACTTCTAATATTTGAACGAAGGGTGTCCAACACAAGTACGGCTACGACACTACTACTAATATTTCGACGAAGGGTGTCCAACACAAGTACGGCTACGACACTACTACTAATATTTCGACGAAGGGTGTCCAACACAAGTACGGCTACGACACTACTACTAATATTTCGACGAAGAGTGTCCAACACAAGTACGGCTACGACACTACTACTAATAAGGTAGGATCTATAAAGTATCAAAGAAAAAGGAAATAAGATATAGGTGGCTAATTTCCATCAATTCTTTATACCAAAAAAAATAATAATTAAAAGTATTCAATATTATTATTATTATTATGAGTTTGGAAACAAAAACAGTAGTGTGTGTAACAGGAGCTTCTGGTTTCATAGCTTCATGGCTAGTCAAATTATTGCTAAATCGTGGTTATACTGTGAAGGCTTCTGTTCGTGATCCAAGTTTGTATTTTTTGTGTACTCTCTATTTTTTTAAAAAAAAAATTGTTTTTTTTTGGGATTATTTGGATTTTGATTCATTTATTGGAGAAATTGGGGATATGGGGTTTGTGATTTTTGAAAGAAAAAAAATTGGAAAAAATGTTAGTTTTTTAAGTGTGTTTGATGAAAATTGTGTTTATGATTTATCTTTGGTAAGTGTGTTTGATGAAAATTGTGTTTATGATTTATCTTTGGTTTGGTTGTTTGTGTTAGTAACCTCTCAAAATAGAGAGTTTTTTCGATTTTTCGAATAATCAATTCCAACTTAATTTTCTATTTTAATTTTTTTAAAATAAAAATCTTCTTTTTCTTTTTTTAATATTATATTGTTATTTTTTATTTCATAATATAAATCATTTCTTTCATTTTCTTTCCGAATAATTCAATCTATATAATTGTCATGTAATATAAAATTTTATTTTTAAAAATTCTTTATTTAATATTCTCTTCGTCTCATTTTATGTGACTACTTTTTTTTTTTTACGAATAATTCACCCTATATAATTGTCATGTAATATAAAATTTTATTTTTTAAAAATTCTTTATTTGATATTCTCTCCGTCTCATTTTATGTGACACTTTTTATTTTTCGAGAGAAACATTTTAATTTTGATCAGATATTTGCGTATGGAATCTTCAAATTTTTTAAAATGAAATTTATATATTTATAAACTACGTAAAGAGTACTATAAGTCACAATAATTGATAATTCAAAACGTAAAAAGGATCTATGAAACACTTACGGTCAGAGATAGACTTGTTTGAATCTCGAAATATGAAAAGTGTCACATAAAATGAAACGAAAAGAGTGTAAAATTATATTTTATTTCAAATTTCTAGAGAAAAGCATAACCACAATCACAATCATAACTGTTATTTGGATCATACTTTGATTTTTTCCGGATATTGTAAAATCTAAAAACGATCTACTAGACTACTAAGTTATTTTTGTTATGTATTGTATTGTTATGTTATATTTAAATTATTATGTTATGTCTTGTATTGTTTTCTTATATTTATATTATTATGCTATGTATTGTATTGTTATGCTATATTTGAATTATTATGTTAATGTATTTGTATTATTATCTTATATTTATATTATTATGCTATGTATTGTATTTGTAAATTAAAACTTTTACATTTTATGCATTCTTCATAGTGAAAACTAATAATAATATCAAATTATATCACTTAAGTGATGAAAATAAAAATATTATTAATTCGGGATGAAAGTAGTATGTATTAAATAATATAATTTTTAAAACATTATATTACATTTGAGACGAATTATAAATATTAGATATTTAATTAATAACCTTATATGAAAAATAATATGTTAATTATAAAATGATTAAAATAATAAAAAAGTGAAATAGCAAATCTCTATAAATAGAGAATAGAGGGTTTTTTAAAGTGTGATTAGATTTTTGTTTTACTCTCCAAATATAGAACCGGATACCTTATAACAATAACTTTGCAGCACTTCGTAAGAAATAACAACGTTTAAAGCATATTTTCGAAAGCAGAAAGTTAAAACCAGTAAAGAAAATAAAATCTATAACAAATTCAGAAATAATATTAATAAGAAAAATAATTAAGCCCACTAAATGCACAGTGTCCTTAAGAAAATTATTTCCCTCAAGTATTCGAGGTTAAAACCAGTAAAGAAAATAAAATCTATGACAAATCAGAAATAATATTAATAAGAAAAAATAATTAAGCCCACTAAATGCACAGTGTGTCCTTAAGAAAATTATTTCCCTCAAGTATTCGAGGTTAATGGAAACTATCCTCCTAGAATGAAACGATTTTACTGAGCAGTGTATCGGTACAAAAATCAACGATCAGTGAACTACTCAACAGTAGCAAAATACACTAATTTATTTGTGCGGAAGAAGAAGAAAGAAGAAATAGTTGAGTTAAACAAAGAATCATAAGAAAGGAAGTTGTTCAAAGGACCTACATTCACTCATAATCGATAAACCGAAGTGTTTATAAGCTAGTTTGACCGACTTATAAACTTTGTCAATCGCATCGTTATGCTTTCTATTATGTTATATTAATGTAATAATCATTTTTTTTTAAATTTTCGAATCCGCCTCTAGATGATCAAGAAAAGATAGATCACTTGACTTGTCTTGATGGAGCCAAGGAGAGACTTCACTTGTTCAAAGCAAGCCTGCTGGAACAAGGTTCCTTTGATGCTGTTGTTGATGGCTGTGAAGGTGTATTTCATACAGCATCTCCTTGTTACTTTGAAGCTAAAGATCCACAGGTTCCTCTCTCATTCTCTTGATTAATATGGTTTTGTATCTATGTTGCCGAGACTCTCTAAAAATGAGTGGAAACTTCAAAACTAGTGCATTTTGGAGGATCTGACATGGGTGCGGCCAACATTTTTTTGAATAGTACGAGCAACATAGGTTTTGACGTCTACTTTTGCAAGCTTACTCTTTGGATAGTTAGTCTTGTTGTAGAACCACATAAATTGGATGAATGAAAACTAGTGCATTTTGGAGGATCTGACATGGGTGCGGCCAACATTTTTTTGAATAGTACGAGCAACATAGGCGTTGACGTCTACTTTTGCAAGCTTACTCTTTGGATAGTTAGTCTTGTTATAAAACCACATAAAATTGGATGAATGAAAACTAGTGCATTTTGGAGGATCAGTACGAGCAACATAGGTTTTGACGTCTATCAAAATAGTTGAGCAAGAGCTATCAAAGCTAAATTAGCTATAGCAGTCTTATCAAAAGCAAAAAAGCGCAGAAAAAGCTCTAAAGTCCGTTGAGGTGTTAAGTGCAAAGCGCAGAAAAAGCTCTAAGGTCCATTTAAGTGTTAAATTCAAAGCGTGGACTTCAATGCAAAAAGGCGCAAAGGGAGGAAAATATACAAATATATACGTTTTGTCCAAGATTTATAATTCTAAATATGACGAAAAATAAATGAATGAAGAAACTTAAATTTTTTCTATGATGAGTTGAATTATCAATTGTTTAGTGCTGCTTCTTTAGAAGTGGCTTACTGCTAAGGAAAAGTATGCCTTAAAGCCTTGATGACGACACTAAAGCTCACATTAAGCGAGTAGAAGAGCTCAACATGTTTTGAGCCTCGCTTCAGGGCCTAAGTGTGCCTTTGACAACTCTGGTATATAGTACTCATGTAAGGATTACTGTTGTTCACCTTTACTTGGTAAATATAAGAAAATTTCACCTAACGAAACTGGCTGTTGTGCTCTTCGATCTGCTGGTCCTATTTCTCTGTTCTACTTTTTGGTTTTTCGTCTATTGATGTAATGGATTAGCCCTACTGTTAACGTGCTGCAGGCGGAACTGATTGATCCTGCAGTGAAGGGGACACTTAATGTTCTTGGATCAGTTGCGAAGACAACGACTGTTAGGAGAGTGGTTTTGACATCATCTATTGCAGCAGTTTCTTTCAACGGCAAGCCAAGAACGCGTGAAGCGGTGATTGATGAGACATGGTGGTCAGATCCTGACTATTGCAGAAAAAAACAGGTGCCTTAGTAACCAAGGTTTTGAGCTGAATGTTTCTGAATGCAAAACTTACCCGGCATGGTTTAGGATTATATTTTTTCTTCGGAAAAAAGGACAAATATACCCCTGAAATATCGTAAATGGTATGCAAATATCCTTTGTCATACTTTTGAGACATTGGTGCCCTTGTCGTCAAAAAACTAGAGCATATATGTTCTTCACTCTAACGGAAGACTAAATAGGGACACGTGTCACAATCTTATCTATCGATTCGATATTTAATAAATACTATGATATGTGTATATGTCCGTTAGTATAAAGAGTATATACGCTCTATTTATTAGATGGCAGGGGCAAAATAGGACGGAGGGTATCTGCATACCATTTACGATAGTTCGGAGGTGTATTTGTCCTTTTCCCCTTTTTTCTTTTAGCTAATATGGTTCAAATTCTCCAATCTTCACATATAGAGGTTTATAAAGCAGAGGGAACTGATGGTAACTGTGGACCATCTTTTGTTGTTTTTGCTAGCTCTGGTATATACTTTCGAAGACATTGGCTGAGGACGCTGCGTGGAAGTTTGCGAAAGAGAAAGGTTTCGATATGGTTACAATAAATCCAGCAACGGTTATAGGCAGTTTGTTACAGCCAACACTGAATACAACTTGTGATGCCATCTTACAATTGCTAAAAGGTAATGCTTGATCTTACATCAGATGATCTGTCGTTGATCTCGTCATCTGAACCTAGTTGTTTTATGTTTGACTCATCCGTCATGATTTCTTGGAGGAAGAAAAAAGAAAGAAAGAAACAAGGATCGCGATTAGTTACTTAACCGTTTTCCTAAAGTTTCTCTTCAAGAGAATGAATATGACAAATCAACTTTGTTTCTGCATACCACTGGCTTAGCTCTGGTAAGTGATTATGACATGTGTATGTTCGTCAGTATAAAGGGTATATATATGCTCTAGTTATTGAACGACAGGGGTATCAATGTCCCAAAAGTATAACAAAGGGTATCTGCATACCATTTACTACAATGTGTTGGAATTCATGTTAAAGTTTCGTTTTGCTTTACTACAGGTTCTGAAACATATCCAAATACTACATCTGGATGGGTTAATGTGAAAGATGTTGCCCTCGCGCATATTCTAGCATTCGAAAACCCTTCAGCTAATGGTAGATATATAATGGTTGAGTCAGTTGCACATTACTCTGAGTTAGTACAGATATTACGCGAGCTTTACCCTACAATGAAGCTCCCAGAAAGGTAAGTTTCTTCTACGTGTAGCCTCTATCTTTCGATTAGGTTTGTGAAATGTGCAGCGTTGATATTGAAGTAATGCTTCACAAAGTAACTAGAGCATGCTCAGAATACATAAAGTTGGCTCAACGTTTTCGATTAACCTCTCCAGGTGTGTTGTTGATAAGCCATTTCCGCCAAAGTACCAGGTTAACATCGAAAAAACCAGAACATTGGGTGTTGAGTTCACTCCTTTGGCTTTAAGCATCAAAGAAACTGCTGAAAGTTTGAAAGAGAAGAAATTTTATTGAGAGCATACTTCTTCTGTACCTTAATGTTCACCATAGCTTGGATAGATCGATATAATACGAGCTTTTGTTACATATCGATATAAACGTGTCATGGATGTAGTAGAAATAGCTTGCGTCCTTTGTATCGACGAGTATCTTGGTCTATTAGAGCTACTTTGAAGCCATGTTATCTTTTGAAATTTGGAAGTCTAATGTGTTTGTTATAATATTTAGCAACTTGCTATTAAAATTGTTTATGTTTGTGCAAGAACAGCTCCAGGATGTTTTTCTTCTCTTTTTAATAAATGATGGTATAGGGGTTGTCATAGTCGTATTTTGATTATTTCACGGGGTACCTGCTATCTCTACTAGCGTAGATACTGGTATCATGTCTTGCTTTTTCTAACAAAAATAATAAAAATTTGTTAAAATGGGCAAGTAAAATGAATATTTGTTTTTGATATAGGGGTCAAGTAAAATAAAACATATAGAGTATATAGAGCAGTGGCGGAGTCAGAATTTTCAAAAAGGGGGTTCAAAATTCATAGAAATAGACACATGGAGTAGCGGAAGGGGGTTCGACATTTACTATGTATACATAAAATAAAATTTTAATAATGTATAAATAGTATAATTTCCCTTCGAAAGGGGTTTGGATTGTATCAAGGTGGCTCTGCCCCTGATATAGAGTATAAATGATTCATTTATTTCTATAATCGAAAAACTAACACAAACTAATAAAAGGATAAGTGAATCAGAATAACAACAATAAAATACTCAGTAAAATCTAATTAAGTGGCGTCTGAGAAAGATAGAGTGTATGCAAGTCTTACTACTACCTCATGAAACTAGAGAGACCGTATACGAAAGATCCTCGATTCAAGTGTATCAAATTTGAATAAAAGAAATAGGAAAATAATGAAGAAAACATATAAGCTAATTAGAAAGTCGTGTGTAAAGTTTACCAAAAAGAAACAATAACTACATATTAAAAGAACTAGGGTACGGCTAGTACTACGACATACACTAACAAGTTTAAACTTTCACAAGGCAAGACAAAACTCTATCCCTACAAATCTTCTAACCGAATATGCAACCTCCACTCCTTCCTATTGATGGTCATGTTCCCGAAATATGAATTGCACCATGTTTTGTCTAATCACTTATCTTCAATACTTTTTCAGCCTACCCTATCCCTTCGCTAACCCCTTACAATCAACATCTAGCACCTCTTCGATGAGCATTTGTGCACCTTCTCTTCACATGCCCAAATCATCTCTCGACAATGAATACCCTTCTTCTTACCCTCATCTACTCCACTCTCTCCCAAATCTTCACAGTTTGACTTAACAATTTAATACCCTATAATTATTATAATTTTGAATATCACCCTAATATTCAAAAACACATACAATTTTTTTCTATCTATTATGAACATTTTATTATGTTTTTCGACTTTTACTTGAAACAGAGTTTACTTCATATATCTAATTAGCAAGATTAAGAAATTAGCTACATATTAGGTCATTATAATAAGAAACCCATGTCTTGGTTAAAAAAAGAAGAAGAGAAACTTAGGTCTACGTATACTGAAAAGAATATATTTACGCCACATAGTTTTATATATAATATTCTATTCGATACATTATATATAATATTAATTATTGGATTACGTAACGTAATATTTTATATATATTTTTTTTTAAAAAAAATCAATTTTTTTTTTTGAAAAATGAAATTAGGACTACCTACCTAGAAACTACCAATAAAGGAAACAATATAGGTGGCTAATTTTAAGGATAATCTCTCAAATTACTTTCTTTTTTTTTTCTATCAATTCTTTATACCAAAATAATATTATTGTTTTTTTCTCCTCTGTTTCTGCTTCGTATTTTTGCTGAGAGAAATGAGTGTGACAGCGAAAACAGTGTGTGTAACAGGAGCTTCAGGTTACATAGCTTCATGGCTAGTCAAATTCTTGCTACATAGTGGTTACAATGTGAAGGCTTCTGTTCGTGATCCAAGTTTGTACCTTTTTTTTCTCTTTTTATTTTAGGAAAATGTGGGTTTTTTGTGGGTTATTTGGGGTTGGATTCATTTGATGGAGAAATGGGGATATGGGTTTGTGATTTTCTTTTGTGGGTATTGATTCTTGGATTTGGATTTTGAAAAAAAAAGGTGTTTTGTGTGTGTCATGCAGTTCAAATACTTGGAAAATGAGTGTTTTTTTGTGGGTTTGGATTCATTTGATGGAGAAATGGGGATATGGGTTTGTGATTTTCTTTTGTGGGTATTGATTCTTGGATTTGAATTTTGAAAAAAAAAATGGTGTTTTTGTGTGTGTCATGTAGTTGATATACTTGGAAAATGAGTGTTTTTTTGTGGGTTATTTGGGTTTGGATTCATTTGATGGAGAAATGGGGATATGGGTTTGTTATTTTTTTATGTGGGTATTGATTCTTGGAAAAAAAAAGTGGTACAAAAAAATTGGTTTTTTTGTGTGTCATGATTGGTTTTTTTGTGCGTCATGTAATTGATTTGTTGTACTTTATGATGGTGTTGGGTTGTTTGGATCTTGGAATATTAGGTTATGAAGATCATATGCTTTGATTGTTTGTTGGATTATGTTGATCGTCTTATCTAAAAGCTTAAACTATTAGGGGTTTGTTTGGAATGTGGAATGGTGGTTGTGATTATGGTGGACTGATTTTGCTAGTTCACCATAATCACAACAGATTTTCAATTTGGTATATTAGTGATGTTGTGATTATGGTGAACTGCCTTTGCCATGTAAAGCCACCACTCATGTATTCATTTTCATAGGAAATGAGGAAATCCACCTGGTTGGGCAGAAAAGCAAAATCATCTGCTGAGAGTTCTCATTAAATTAGCCGAATCCCTGCACCCGTATCTGTACCTAGATTCATACCCCCGAATTTTTTTAATTTAGATTATGAAGGATGCGTCCTCTAGATTCATACACTCTTCTTTTTTTAGTTTTTTACTTTGAGACTTTATACTCAATAGATAATCTTTTGACGTCCAGTAAAAATACATCTTAGAGCAAACCAACTCGCAAGCAGTTCCATAGGTTACAGTTAATCAATTAACCACAACTCGCTCTTGAACCAAGTGATATGGTGCCTATGCAGATCCCTTTCTTCCATTATATTGTGTTCTTAGCTATGTCTGTCTTGAATCAAGGGAGATTTTAGATCTTTTGAGACAATCACATCATGTGATAGAGTGTACTTTTCTCTTTTTACCACACTTATCAAATAAATTCAGTGTAGTAAAGAAAAAAAATCATAAGGTTGATCTTGTTTCACTCATCACTGTGACTTAAACTTTCAGCTCTCCGCTTATTTTATAATTTGGACAACAGAAAAACTAGATATTTCATTCTTCGCCCGTGCTATAGGTCATGTTTACTGCTTATGTGTTGAATGCGTTATGATATTTTCGTGCAGATGATCCCAAGAAAACGCAGCACTTGCTTTCTCTTGGTGGGGCCAAGGAGAGGCTTCACTTGTTCAAAGCAAACCTATTAGAAGAAGGTTCATTTGATGCTGTAGTTGATGGATGTGAAGGTGTATTCCATACAGCGTCTCCTTTTTACTACTCTGTTACAGACCCACAGGTTCTTTCCGTTCTTGTAAATCTGATTTTACTTACCTTCATTCTAGGTAGTGTAATGGCAGTTTCTATGTATTGATAAAAGTATTGCGGTCAGCATCTTTATTAGCTTAATATCAAGTAACTTTAGTTATCAATGACAAGTATTCAGATCAGATGACACAAGTGACAAATGAACCATCTGGTACATTAAAGGAGCTAGATGCTATGCTGATGAACCATAACATGAGTCCTGTTTCTTTGAATCAGATACTATACAATTTCCATTTACTCTGCTCCTGGTTATTTTACCATTTGCCTGGCCCGATTTGTATATCTTTCTCTTTCTTTTTGAAGTTTCATTATTCTTTCAAGTTCCTTTTGTATGCTTGGCTGTTTGGTAAATAAATCTAAGACTGTGTAATACGATTGAAAGATGTAACAGTTTAGTTTCAAGATATCCTTTCATCATTGTTACTTCTCCCCTCTTGTAAATTAAGTTAGTTACATCCTACTAGAGTGAAATTCTCAAATTAATATATTAAGTACCTAACTGAAATAGTGTGAGAAAATTTTGAATTATGTCTGTAAGATAATACTCCTTGACAGTTCACTCTCTGCTTTGGCTCAACTCTTGTTTAATGATTATAAAACTATACGGTTATGGTTGGTCGAGGAAAGTTTACAGTGAGCAGGGTTCACCTCCTTAAAGGACAAGTTGCGACAGTGGCTTGAACATCATGAGAGGATAATTAAATTATAGCATACAGCTATTGGAATTACTATTTTCTCATTTCAATGTACTTGATGTGTTATTATGAAGCTTAAGAATTTTGTAATCTTATTTTGGAGTTTGTTTTATGGACTTTAACTAGTTGATATAGTTCAAATTTGGTAGTCACATGAGATTATTCACGTTCTCTAGAAAATGAAATGTGTGGTAGCCATGTTAAAAACCAACATCCGACTTGTTTTCAATGGTACTTAAAGTAAGTTAGCTTGTTTGTCCTTCTAGAGTTGGCTCCCATTTCAAATCAACTCTACATCTCCCCATATTTCAGGCTGAATTACTTGATCCTGCTGTTAAGGGAACACTCAATCTTCTCGGGTCATGTGCCAAAGCACCATCAGTAAAACGAGTTGTTTTAACGTCTTCCATAGCTGCAGTTGCTTACAGTGGTCAGCCTCGGACACCTGAGGTTGTGGTTGATGAGAGCTGGTGGACCAGTCCAGACTACTGCAAAGAAAAACAGGTGTGCATGTATTTTCTTCTTTCTTTTTGAGCACATTCAAAGACAAATGAAGGTATTGCCCATTGAAATAGCTAGTATTGAGCTAGTCTTACCATTATTGTATGTTTTGTTATATTCGTGGTCAATGTCTCTCTTGACAAATTACAGTGTGATACTGTTGCATAAATGTGGAGCTGGGAAGGCTAGGGATCTACAGAAGTTGTAACAAAATATACGCTGTATCTAAATTTGTGATGAATTAGACGCACTTTGATTAAAATTACTTTTATCATGGTTTTGTATTGGTATGGATGTAAGAAGGACCAGACACATTTCTCTTATTTAATAATATCAACAAGAGCTCATTAACCGCGGTTCTTGACAACATGACTAGCTGATCCAATTTAAAGAATTTCTGAGTGCTTTAGTCACTGCACTATTTCTTATTAATATCATAAGTTTCTATGTTTGCAGTTATGTCAACTTAAGTTTCTGAGGTGTTCATCCAAACACTTCTCTGGTTGGTGTAGTATTAGGAATACACATTTTTCTTGGAGATGTGTGTTTTAAAGCTAGGCAGTTTCAATAACTTTTTAAGTGTAATGAATCATCTGATCTTGGTCACTTATATCATCTGTTTTATATGTGACATTGACCTGTTATGATTGAAAGCTATGATATTAGTTGCAATGTGTCCTGTTAGTGGCCTTGTTTGTTTGCATGTTTAAATAAAGCATTCACATCCCATTGTTTCTTTCCTAGATTTCAATTGTTAACGTCTCTCTATTTTCTCCTGTTCCTTTTAGCTCTGGTATGTCCTCTCAAAGACATTGGCTGAGGATGCTGCGTGGAAGTTTGTGAAGGAGAAAGGCATTGATATGGTTGTAGTAAACCCTGCTATGGTTATTGGTCCTCTGTTACAGCCTACACTTAATACCAGTTCTGCTGCAGTCTTGAGCTTGGTAAATGGTATGTTTCTTAAACTTAAATTAGTTAGATCTTTACCTCAATCTGGTGAGGTCAAATGGCTTGAAACTGTTTAAACCTAACAAATGGAATACCAAGGCCATGTGGAATGCCAAGAAGACGGATCATATATGCTGTAATATTTTCGTTTTATGGTCAACATAAGTAGAAGACTACGTAGGCCACCATAATCAGCTCTAAGGAGAAGCTCAGGCAAAAAATCCGTCTTTCTGGTCAACCTAGTTAGATTTCTCGAAATAATATTACTAATCTAGATGGATCATCCTCCTAATATGAATAAGACGAGAACATCCACTCTCTTATGGCATATAATAATGCGGTTAAATCTGAGAGTAATTCATCGAGTATACTGGCCTGTCTGTCTTTTTGTTCTAGTTGAATGTTCTCCTGTTGCTTTGGCCTGAATGTGGAAGATACGTGGGTGAGGGGCTAGACAACAGGCGGGTCTATGGTAACTATAGTATGATATGCTTATTGAGCTAGAGGTGAAGTCACTCATTAATGTTTTTCCCTTTAAGCTAGAAGAGTACTGAAGTAATTTACCTTTATAAGTTTAAATTTCAACCAAAGAATAAACTAAAACAGAACAATTGAGGTGGAGGATATAAATGATGAAAATGCATTAATAGGTCAGTGACTCATGCTTTTTCGTATGATATCGAAATTTCTTTGACCATAAGGATGTCAACCATTCTTTTCATCATCATTTCAAATGTTCATTTTTCCATGCTATGTAGGTGCTGAGACATACCCAAATTCCTCTTTTGGGTGGGTTAACGTGAAAGATGTTGCAAATGCACATATTCTTGCATTTGAGAACCCTTCAGCTAATGGGAGATACTTAATGGTTGAGAGGGTTGCACACTATTCTGATATATTGAAGATATTGCGTGACCTTTATCCTACTATGCAACTTCCAGAAAAGTAAGTATTCTTATAAAAAAAATAGGTCTATTTTTACTTGTGCTGGAACTTCTATATTAAGCTTTTATCACACAAATGTGCTATGTGGTTAGATGAATATGTTGAATGTGTGCTTATCCACTCCGAGTCATTCATAGATTGAACGCTCCTTGATTTTATGCAACTTATATCCAAGGACTTGCAAGTCACTAACTTGAACTAGAGTCTAGACAACTCCCCCATAGATTTTCTTCCCTTTCTGATGGTTGGACAAGCATTGTAACCACAAGAAAACTTTATGTATGTCCAATCCAGTGTTCTTTTAAAGGTAACGTAAAGGGTGGGGGTGAGGGGGCTTTTTGCTGCAACGCGATTTCAGATTGAGACGAGGGACTCAATGCCTTAACTTAATCAAGTGAACCTTCGTTGCCTTAACCTTATGCAATCCAATGCAGTTCTTAGAGAAAACTTAGAAGCAAGATGATAAAAATACTGAATAATTCTAAAACTGTTCTTTCGTTTATCAACTTGTAATGCCTTGTGCCATAATAAAGTCATTCTTGTTTTACAACTTGTAGAACTTTTATTTGATATCTTATCAGCCTAACTCGATATAGATAGGGAGTAATGATCGTTTGAAGTTGGTCCCTTGGTCCTAATGCATGCTCCTCATTTGAACCTTAGTTTATCGTTCAGTTTCCAACTTTACTTCGCCCTAGGACATCTCATATACTTGCTATCACGTCCAAGTGATATTGCACTAGTTTGTTATTCACCTTTGACATGAAAAAACAACATTTTATGTATTCGTTATTACATTTATCGCCTCCAAACTCAATTCTTAGGGTCCCTACATTGTTGCTTGAGCTTTTGTGAATATATATGATATATCTGTAGGTGTGCTGATGACAACCCATTGATGCAAAATTATCAAGTATCAAAGGAGAAGGCAAAAAGCTTGGGTATTGAGTTTACTACCCTTGAAGAAAGCATCAAAGAAACTGTTGAAAGTTTGAAGGAAAAGAAGTTTTTTGGAGGTTCATCTTCTATGTAAAAGGCTTCTCAAAGCTTTTATGGTTTTGTTGAACAATACTACCCACCCCACCCTACCCTACACACTTTTTTTTTTTACTTCTTTTAGCTAATTATAGAATCGAGAAGTCGAATGGTATATCCGTTAATAAATTTCGATCAGATGAGGTTGAAATTTGTTCTATATCTAGAGATTTTTACAGACTGGTTTGATAGAAGAAATTAGAACACTATTGTTGTGTTTTGTTGAGTTTGGTTTGTAGGAGAAAACCAAATGGATTTATTGATATTTGAAGATTTGTGTTGAATCCAAAATTTTCAGGCTCAATATCTAATTAATAGTTGATTTTGAAACAAATTGGATTATTTTTCATTTAGCAAAAACATGTTATTAAAATTTCTGTGTAAATTCTGATGTACTTATATTATTTAGAGCATATGAAATGTTTAAAAGATTAAACTAATCTACTTCTAACTCTCTTTCAAAAGAAATCAGCCATGATTTTGTGCTGTCTTGAAAATTTTAACCATGGTACTAAATACATGTCTTCCATTCATTTGCTTAGTGTAAATATCAGGTACGAGTAAATTTTTTCCGAACATCATTTTGGTCAGCGAGTCGAGCCAATGAAGTTTTCGATAGATAATTAATTTGTCTAAAAAGCACAACGTATACCCTACGAACTCCTTGACAAGTTTTTTTGACATGCCTAATTATTTATCTTAGGGAAAAAGGACAAATATACCCCTGAATTGTTGTAGTATGCAGATACCTTCAGTCTTACTTTTGGGACATAAGTGTCCCTGCCGTCCAAAAACTAGAGCATATATATCCTTTATATACTAACGGACGTATCATAATCTTATTCACCGATCCGACATTGATCGAAGGATAAAATTATGCCACGTGTCCCTAATTAATCTTCTGTTAGAGTGAAGGGCATATACGCTTTACTTTTTGGACGGCAAGGGCACCAACGTCTCAAAAGTATGACGCAGAGTATCTGCATAACATTTATGATAATTCGGGAATATATTTACCCTTTTCCCCTTTATCATATATACATAACATCACAACAGCAACACGAAAGATTACCAATTGGAAAAAATGCAGCTTTTAACTTCTTTCTGCAACTTCTGCTTCAGTGTCCAGTTTTTTTCTCTTCGCCATATTGTATCACAAACTCGGAAAATATGTCGAGAATTACGAGAGAAGAACTACTAACATCTTTTCTTTCACTGCAGCTTTGGATGTCATCATCTCTAAGGTTGCCAGAACTTACGAAGACCTTTGAGTCCTACAAATCACCTTTCACGTCACTGTAAATTTTGAACAATGATTTACATGTTAAAATCGAATGAGACGCGTACCATATTGAGAGAAGTCCATATACATCGGCCTGGAGGTTTGTATATCCGGAATCTGAATAGGTAGAAAGCTTCCATGTTGCATCCGACTTCCTCAAGTGTTGATACATCCAGATGAGCAAATGACGTATTTGGAATTTCATTTTGGGCTTCATTTTAAATGCTTGACCTCGGTTGAGGGAGCAATCATGAATCAGTGTGTCAAAAGGCCGGTCTGAAATCATGTGAATTTCATAATACAATGTATGTGCCATCCTACATTTTGAAGCAAACACATTAGTGAAGCCGGAGAATGACTTCTTGAGTACAGATGGAACATCATTTCAAAAAAAGAACAAATCTTAGATTGCACATACATCATTGATTGTAAATTTGTCTGGTAACTTCAAGGACGGCAACAGCCATTCTGATAAATAGATGTGCTGCTTTGGATATTCACTATCATCTGCAGAATAACGACAAAGCCAATTCTTTTTATCCATGATAAGAGCAAGAAATGGTCTTGGCCTAAATGATTTTGAGCCATACCTGAAGGTCGCACAAGTATTCTGTGTGAAACAAAGGACTGCAACAACCAGAGAAGAATATTTAGGTTAATGAACCCCTTAAAGTCCAACGTTCAATTGAATAAAAACAGTTATATAAATGTGGGATTCCTGTCAAATCTCCCACATTCATTTATATATAGATGATTGGGTGTCGTTCGTATAAAACCATATCTTTTTGTAGGTTTTCTATTTGGCATACTTCTTTATAATGGTGCCTCTTTATGCTCATATTGTTAATAAACTGTAACTTTAGAAATACAATGACCTGGGATTCTTGTCAAAGGCTGCAACCGCAAGGCATAGAGGGGAGGTCATAAGTGTCTACTGTAAAATCGATTTTGACAGAATGAAAAAGCATCAAGTTATGGAGCACTAATTTCAGAAGCACATGATTCCTGATGTTTAAGGTCAAAACATAAAAGGAAAAATACACATGTTCTTCCACGCTTAGTTATTGTAAAAGCATTTCATAAACAAAAACTTTACCAGCATAAAAAGTCTGTGTGTCCGACTTCATCTAAAAAGCGGCAATGAATGAATTATCAGACTAAATTTGCTGCTCCCTGAATCAACATACCATGTATTAACATTTGTTTTAATGTTCAACCAGAGAGGTGTTATGAAAATTTGCCACTACTCCTATATAGCTATAGTGCCTTTCTGTTACCTATTTCTCATCTATACATCACAGTCCGCACTTAATTCATACCAGGAGAAAGGGGTTACTGGCACTCTCATTCATAAATCATGTCCGACTTTCCAAACATTCAAGGTCTATAGTGGAAGATTTCCAATTCCATCTGATTCTTAATGAACCATCACTTGCAAGAACCACCAATTTCGGCAGAAACTCCACCATTCTTTGATTGTTTCTGAATTTTGTTCCTTTAGCACAATATTTTCAATATAATAGTCTTTCCATCGAACAATATATTTGCAAGATATTAACACTGGAATATTTCCACCCTAATGTTATATTTGCAAGAAATTAACATGACACACATTAAGTGCTGTGAAGAGCCCCACATTGTCCCTTTAAGGAATGAGCGGTCTCTTTATATTGCTTGGGCAATCCTCACCTTGAGGTTGAGTTAGGCCCAAAATCCATTTCTTTACATGCTATCAGAACAGGACCTATTCCATTTCTCATTTCCGATGTTGGGCTCCATACTAAATTGTCCACGCACCAAATGTCCAGCCCTGGTAATGAGGGGTGTGTGAAGAGTCCCACATCATCCCATTTCTTTTCATGAGTTAGCAAGGGGAGAAGTGGAAAAAATTGGCCCCAACATCTATTGGGTCTGCTATATGAATCCTTACTATATCCATTTCAGTTGAACCCATTCCATCCCAAAATTAAAAAAAACATGGCCCTTTTGAGTTCTCTTCTGTTTCCATTGACATGCAAAGTTAAGAAAAAAACTAAAAAGATTCCTAGCAAATATTGAATCTAATATATGTCGCTTATATGAAATTTTACTTCCATTATGTTCTAAATTTTGCTAAATTGATTTTAGGCCCACATTCTCTTTCAACACTTCAATCATGATGGTTCGTTCTCCACTTCTCTCAGTTCATCTCCATTAACCAATCACTATAACGTTAAAAAGAAATAGTTTATTATAATGCTTAGCTTGAACAAGATGCCCAACAAATGATTTTTTAGATAGAAAAGATATCTATATACCATAGAGTGAAGTGGCTGTACTAAAATTTAGCTAGAACATTTGAACTCTTGCATTCTTGGTTGCTTATGAAACACAATGGATCCTTACTCTCTTTAATTAAAAACGAAGAACACCAAAAAAAGAAAGAATATGCTGGCTATACACAAGCTTTTCATATATAGTATTGTTACCTGCCATACTGAAGGCATATACTCCCGATACAGTTGAGCATTAGTACTACTCCTAATGATCCTTGAGTCCAAGTTACTCTCAATAGACAACTGCCCTGTACTCCTGTTTTGAGTGGTTGCAAATTAGAAAACGATGAAAGTGAAAAGAGAACTATTTGTAAGATTTAGCAGCTTAAGATCATCAAGAAATGATCTTTGGAACAACTGAACATTTCCATAAATATGGTGTACAAAATGATCCTAAATTGATACATTCAAAGGGGGACAAGCTCGTAACCACTATTGATGATCAAACAGATAAAGTCCTGTACATGTTATGTTACTTGAATAATTTAAAAATTTGTCAATCAGAACACAAACTGTCCAAAGCAATGAGCCCAGAATATGGAATTAAACCAGGGCACATTTACAGATAGACAGCACATATTGAGCTTTAATTTTTTCACCACATTCTATACACAGGATACTTATCATATTTATCAGGTCATTTGTAACCAGATTTTAGTAATGTGCAATACAAGATTAATTTTGGAATTTGGACAAAGGAAATGAACTGAATCCAACCTAATAACTTCGCGAGATGCAACTTTATCCTGTAAACTTGCTGCTTTTGTAGTTAGAACAAGCATCGGATGCACCACAAGAATCTTCTGGATCTCTTGAACGGCAATGTCTGACACATTTTGCAAAGAAAGACTTCTCCTGGTAATAAGACAAATACGTAATGCTAAAATACCCAATTTGAGAATAAGAAGCAAAAAAGAATGGTGCGACCTATACAGAAAGCAAAGGAACATACTAAATCCTTTTCTCTCCTAAGAACCAAACCAAGTGTTAACATGATGAGTGCTAGGTAAAAAACATGAACAGATGAAAGTAAACAGAACGAAACTCGTAACCATATATATGGTACTTGATTAGATGACATGTGAGGTTACCAAGACCACAACCTGCACCATCCCAACCTCCAGGAGAAAGAAGAAAAAATAAATGACAACTGAACAGCTGGGTTTTATTCAAATGGTGAGCTAAACAACAAAACAAAGAAAAAGACAATTGAACTGCAACCTTCATTATAGGAACAAAAACAAAGAAAAAGACAATTGAACTGCAACCTTCATTATAGGAATACAGTTACACCTCTACTAAAAGACTACATTTATGTGCTCATGCCTGCAAAAAAAATGCTATTAAGAAGCACCACTTTCAAACTGATAGAGTCTTTATTTCAAAACTTTTAAGCACTCTCCAAGAGCTGAGACAGGTTTCCAAGAACTATTTATCTTACATGTGAATTTAGTATAACACGTGCAGCAATTTAGCATGACCAAGAACAGGTTCATCTCTTAAGATGAATCCGAGTACTTTCCCAGCTCATCCAAGGATAAAACAAAAATCCATAGAGTAGAATGCAAATCTTAAGCAAGATAATTGCATTTCTAATCACCTACTTAGAATATTTGACAGGCAATGGTCATTTTCCAGCTAATAAATAGGTAGCAGAAACTGCAAGCTTTCTTAACACCACAAAAATGCTACAAATTAAGGTGCTTGCAGGAAGAATTTGGAGATGAACTAACTTTCAGGGTTCTCCATAACTCCTTTTTTTGCTGTTCACTTTGAACTGCATTTTTAACTTATTTTCTCCCTTTAAATGTAAGATATTGATGTGGACTCTAACCTGTTGTTGCTCCCTGGCGGTATAGATGGTGAAGCACGATCCATCCAATAAAAAGCTCCAATACTGGTCATACAAGAGAAGCAACATATCTTAATAAACTACAGAACTCAGTTACGCCATCAAGGAATATTAAAAGATGAAGGAAAAAACCAAAGGAAACAAAGGGAAGAGGAACATAGATGGAAAGTTTGAACACAGATCTGATGACCTAACAGATAATCACTAAATGGGTAGTAATGATGAAGTACAATTCTAATGCCTGAACAATGATCTGGTGAATCAGTAGTCCTTCCAACCTAAATGACAAATCTAGTCAATAAAAAAATCTAGTCCGAGTGGAAACAGGAATTGATTATAGTCACAGAGCATGCCAAAGAATCGGACAAGGAACTAACGATAAAATGGAAGATAACACGTAAGCTTTTTCCCGTAAAAAGGCACATTTTGATAAATTAGTTGTGTCCTTCCTTGGACATTCCCCTGATAAAGAAAAAGGTCACTTTAGAAGACCATCATACTGTAGTACCATAGGATTGGCTGTTTTAACATGGCCACATGACCAAATCGGCAAACTGCCTGACATCAAAGATATGTCAAGAATAATGAATTATCATGAATTGTTTGATTTATCTATCCATATACTTATCCTAGGAATACTTCTATTCTGTAGGTTGAATGATACTACTGTTAAAACTTCAAGTGTCTCTTTATTATTTGTATGAAACTAAACCACCAAATTCAACATCAAGAAGAGCATTAGAAGGAACCTGTCAATCATAAGCAAATAAACACCACTGCCATGTGCCTCTTTTTCCTTTTGAAGTTGGAAATGCAATGTCTGCAACAAAACAAGATTGAAAGAATAGGCGACATACTTGTATATAAATTGAATTATTTAAATTCAAAAATATAAAAAGAGTATATCAGGAACTAATCCAATCAAAAGAATACATTGTAGAAATACACAAAATAATAAATTAACAACATATATTCACAGCAAGAAGTGTTGGATTATGGAAAATTACACGACTAGCTTGTCTAAAAGTTTAAAATGCTGAAAATATACACTTCTTTTTTACCTAATATATCTTTAACACCCCCTATTCTATAGGATGAGTCAAAGCACATCGACATCTTTTTAGAAATGATGGGGGTGAGGCTTAAACTCAAGATTAATGTTGACCAATGTCAAACTCTGATAACATGTTTTTTAAAAAATGGACATTGAGCTTTGTGCAGCTCCAAAAATTAGAGCATGAGGCAGATTGTCAAAACCACATAACCAGACTACATCTCATACACTTAACCATGGAGCTCAACATTGCCAAGCCTCCTTAATATGCAATTGTTAACATTCCAACCCCCACTCCCTATCTTCAGGATATTTCATATATATATAACATAATGACATTTATCATCCTCAAACGAAAATAGCTCACAAATCTACGATAAATGGAAAGGGGTACAAGTTTCTATTATACACCAATATATTTTGACAAGACAATGTCAACGTAGCACCATCTCAACCTCTATCAAACATTCAGTCACTTTATTTACATCACTACCTTCAAAGAGATTGCAGACATGGTCTAGAGTGTTGGTTCTAACAATAATATTAAAAGAAATATCTCCCAAAGCATTAACAAGGTTGAAGGAACAAAAGCTATACGTATATTGACAGGAGATATAGACTTATTAAAAGAGAGAAAAGATAGGTAGGAAAGAAAAAACTAGATAAGATGAGGAAATTACTCATTCTAACTCACCTTAAGAGTAGCAAGAAATTCAGAACTATCATAACAGCGGATGTACAAGAACCTTCTCATGCTGACAGCGAACAATTCTTTGTCATATTCGGTGTGTGCATCCTTTGATCTACTAGGAGAATTATCCACCTTACTTAGCTTGTGGCCTACCCCATTGCCTGATTAGACAAAATAAACCAAATACTACTTGCATCAAATGTATGAGGCCATTAACATATTTAGTCACTAGTTTCTCTACTGTTACGAACATGTGTGTGTGTGTGTATTCTTCATTTGTGGAAGGGCCAGTATGGCGAAATGGGGCAAAGTTATTCCTTTGGAGACAATAAGTCGTGGTTAGAGGGTAAGCCCCTATTCTGCTTCATTTGCACCTATCCTCGCTAAGCATCGAGCTTGACACTTGAATTACACTTTATAATTTGCACTACAGGCTATCAGAATTTGGAATTTTTTCTTTTTGTAACCAAGAAATCCCCAAGGCTAGTGGAAATTCAGTGGACATCATAATTTGGAACCTTTATAATTCCAACCCTTGCACAACAGTATTTTCTACTTTTTAGTTTCTCATTTGAAAATCTCAAAAATATATTGGTTATTAGTGAAACGCCAACCTCTAATATCAAGGGAGCATAGCTCTCAACTCTTACCAAATTTTAAGTGATACCTATGTGCTTTATTTATGTTTTTTCCTGTTGAAATGTCATGAATGTGCACCAAGATGATATCAAACTATATAGATAGAAGTGTTCAGTGTTTAACTCTAAAAATCTATCAACTATCTACAGGCAAAGCTGAGAAAATTAAGTCAACTCTCAATTTATTAACAGAATGGTTACTGAGCCTTTCTTGAAAATGCTTTTCTTAAGCCAAGTGTCTATCGATAACCGCCTCTCCACCTCTAATAAGGTAGGGCCGTTAGCCGTAGGGGTAAGGTTTGTGTACACCCCACTCGTGGAATCACATTAGGTATGTTGTTGTTGTTGTTGTTGAATGGTTACCGACTTTTACTAACACCCAACTGGCTCATCAATTCAAAACAAGTATTGGTTGATCGATTCAACACACAAACATGTTATATTTTAAGTGCTATTTCAGAATTGATTATAAAATCAAAATATGTTATTGCAATATTACTATGGCTATTATTATTATAGCAGTTTATGTAATTAGGAAACTAGACAAATAAGCAGTACAAGGGACTACGCAAAAGTTCTTTCTATAATGGATGATGAGAGATCATTCACAAAAAAAAATCTCATAAATGGATAATGAGAGATTTACGGAATCTTCAAGGGTGATGAATCTTTTAATTTGATTCAACTTGAATTGCGGATCAGCAGTCGCTGACTGTCAAACAAAAAATTTCGAAGTGGTAGAGGATTCATTGTTGCAAGAGTTGGCTTTTTGTCTACTTCGTATGCATAGATGATTGGCAACATTTTTGGGAGGCTTAATGTATGTTTTTAATTCATTATGTAAAAACAAAAACCAATTTGGTGTAATATCAATAAATACTTTGATTAATTGAAAAATGAAAACAAAAAGGAAGTCTTTTTTGTTAATAACAAAAGAGAGTTTTGAAGCCATATTACCATATCAACAATATGGTTCCAGGAAAACACAAATTAGTCATAAATTTCCAGCAATTGACTAAACTATAAAATTAGAGCCTCCATATTCTAAAAAACATGAAATTCCAAAATACAAAATAAACAAGCTCAAGAATAAATATCTACCATTTTCTCGAATGATCCGCTGCTTCAGTAATCGTGAAAGGCTTAACACATCGAAACGACAATCCAGGTCAACAAACATAACTAATCGCTCCAAGCCTCCATAATTTACACCCTTCCACTCCTTAGGCAGAATACAATTAATAGCAGCCTAGAATGAATCAAAAAGAATCTCATTAAGCTTATTATTTGAGAGACATAATATATGTGATACCATCTAGCTGGGATTAAGGTTTTTGTAATTTTTATAACAAAATCTACAGTTACAATTTTTATATTTGCCAGGACTCTTTTTAATCAAGTTAGGGACTCGTATGTCCAATCGAGAATATGAATAAGTGTGAGTTTTTGAGACCTACTTAGTTGCAAGATAAAATATTTCCCTTTGTCCATGAGGTATTGTTTCATTATTTGCAAGTACTCAGTTTGGTCTTGTCCTTTTGGTGGACTTCAACTGAAAATCGAAATAGCGGTATGAATGTGTATTTCAAGTGAAATTTTTCAAATCTTCAATTTCCATCCCTAAATCTTTTCTACAACTAGGACTTCCATAAACTTTTCTCAAATTCAACTTCAAATAATCTTCTTCCAGATTTAACTGATAAGTATACAAATTCCTCGTTAGTATTGGTATGAAATAGACCCATAATATTAGTATTTTTTGATAACCATAGTGTCCAAATCAGCTTTCACGAACCTCGTCTAATTCCACAGATACATGTCACCTCCCACTCCCACTAGAGACAAATACTAGGTGATTTTATCCGCCAAGACTAAGGTAGATAGGAAAAAATGAATTCGAACCTACGACCTCCTGGTTCTCAGCCCACTTCATTGACCACTAAACCACACCCATAGGTGCTGATATAGACCCATATGGAGCAAAATGGTCGCATGGAATCCATACTTCTAAAACATCCGATCCTAACTAGTCAGGTAAATGATTAATATTGGTAGCACTACAAAATGTAAGAGTCCACAAAGCAAAAGAAAGAAAATGGTCAAAAATGCACATAAATTATCCCAATTTTTCGAGTTTCCTACCTAAACTATCCTGTCTGTGCATTTCAACTATCAATTGTTTATATTTCCTACCTGAATAATGAGATATTTCAGTTTACCAAACTCACACACCTACTAGTTGAAATGTGTTTTAATTCAGATAGAAAACTTGCACACTTAATCATTCATTCATATATGAAACTCAAAAAACTAAATACATTAAGAGTGTTTTCTCTCTATATGCACACTAAATCACTGATTCAATATTATGAATTTGCATCTATAAAATGTAGCTGAACAACAATAAAGAAAAAAAATTAACAAATAGAGTTTTTGTTTAATCTGACTTGCCTGCATAAGAATGCGAGTTTTTGAAGAAGGAGAAGGACCGACGATTTCTACAACATTGCCGGGACGGAGAGGAATCCGATGAAGTGGTGGAGGTAATGGTAGAAATGGCCGCTCTGAGAAAACCCTAGCCAGAAATTGCTTCGCCGTTTCGTCTGCTTCAATCCATTTTCTCGCCGCCGACGCCATTTCTACTCTTCCTCAGTTGCTCGGAGCACGAAAAAGGAAGACAGTGAAACAGGAGACTCTACAAGACTAAAATAATTTTTTTTTAATTAATAATAAGTATTTTTAATTAGAAATAATTAATTTTATATATTTATGAAATTTTCATTTTTTTTTAACTTATAAATGGTTATAAAAGAACATTTTTAATTATTTCACTTTTTTTAAAAGAAAAAATTAAAAGGTGTAAAAAAGTTTCACATATAGCAAACATAAAAATCATATTTGTATGTTACAGTTATAGTTTGCATAATCACGCTCCATAACAAACATAAATATGTATATTTCGTTATAAATGTACAAAAGAAAGCAGTTGTATAATTTCGTTATACGTATACAAAAGAAAGTAATTGTATAATTTGTGTTTGTATAAAGCAAGACAAAAGAAAATTGAGCAGGAAAAGATCGTATTTGTATAATCGTAAGTGTACAAGACGAAAATATATGCATTTGTATTTGTGTATACAATTTTCTCTAGCTTTATACAAACACAAACACAATGTATATACATTTGTGTTTGTATAAAGTGAGAGAGGCGAGTGAGTGAGCGAGATTTGGGAGAGTGGCGAGCGAGATCTGGAAGAGGGGAGAGAGGAAAACGAAAATATATGTATATATATACAATTTTCTCTTGCTTAATTCAAACACAAACACATTTTATACATTTGCGTTTTTTGTATAAAGTGAGAAAGGCGAGTCAGCGAGTGAGATCTGGGAGAGTGGCGAGCAAGATTCACTTGGAGAGAGGCGAAATAACAACAGTTTGCTATGGGATACAATTAAATCAAATTATATTTATAGCATTTATTTTTAATTAATAGTTTGCTATTATATACAATTTTCCTATAAAAAATGCTCCCTTGATTTCACATCACACACACACATGCACGAGGTGAAGAGATGCAAGAGGTAAATTATACAGGATACAATAAAAGCAAAGGCAAACTGAAAAAGTATTGAAGAAAGGATACATAAACAAAGTATATTGAAAATACAAATATTGTGAAGTGTAAAAGAAGTTAGTCCATATATTGATCTTAGTATTGATAGATAGGATACATAAACAAAGTATATTGAAAAGAGTTAAAAAGTGGAAATTAATAAAAATGTCTTTCTTATTTATAGTTTCTTAAAAGGTGTGTGTAAAAAAAAAAGTAGACAATAATATAAAATAAATGAGATAATTTATTTGACTCGTAAAATCTAGATGCATGATGTTATCACATAAATTGAGATAGAAAAATATTTATCTTATTACTCATTTAGTTCAAAATATTTGTCATAATCTACTTTGCAAGAGCTTATTAGTATTTTAAAACTTAGGGAGAACAGAACTGAGCATCAAGGCTGCAAGACAGAAGGAAGGTTCCCGCGTGCAGGAAAGCTTTTTCACATGCTTAACAAATGCAAGTAGACTTTTCTCTGAGCCCCCAGGGATAGCAAAGCTAGCTCTTCGTATCATTGACATTGGGCAGGTAAGTGAAATGCTCAAAAGTATACAAAATATGCTAGAAGTTATAAAAATCAATTAGTAAAAAAGATGCACCATAAAAATTAACCTAACAAGTATTTTGAGACTGAAAAATCTCTTTTTATTTAGATTCATACGAAACTTACGCATAAAAATGTAATTTACAATGCTTTCAATAGGGGCGACTTTAACCTTTCAACTACGAATTCACCATAACTTTCAACACAGACTATATTAGACCTGAACCTATAATTTTAACATTACAACAACTTCACTAATAATTAAAAATCTTAAAAGTTACGACCTATTAAACTTAAATCCCGATTCCGCGTCTAAATTTTACTTGTGACATATTCTAGCAGTTGGCATTGTGACACAAATAGGTGCATACTTTTTCTTTGCCTCAAGTGTCCCTGCCTTTGGTTCCTCAGCCATAACAACACTTGCAAATGAACTTGTAGCTACTATAGCCATTATGGCTAAAGCCCATTCCCTTCTTGATCCAATGCTCTTTTTTTCCTCCTTTTTTTTCACAATTTTTTCATCCTTAGTAAATGCATTAACTTTTAGCACTCTTCTCCTATTTGAATGCGCGGAGAGGGAGGAAAACCCTTCGTTCCTGGTTCTCCTGTAGTTAGATCCTTCGATATGGGCTAGTAATGAAGATGACATTAGTAAAGAAGCCATTGGTGTTAGTTTTGTGACTATTTTTTTGGAGTAGCACAATAATGTTGTAATGGTTGATAATTATATTTTTGTGTTATATAAAGTTACATATGAATTGTGCTAGAAGGATCCATTTGATCAATCAAAAATCTTATCTATTAAATTTGTGGTGTCAAGTAATTAAACTTGATTGGCTTCTTGATTGTTCTTTTGTATGAATTGTGTGCTAGAAGAATCCATTTGAATCAAAAACCTTATCTTTTATAGTAATTTTATATTGTTAGGATGTTCTAGCTATAGTATAGGATTATATATATAAAAACCCTAATAAATGTGTTATATAATTTGTTCTCAGCTTACATTTATGTTCTTTGATTTTAAATGTTCACATTTATATATAGATTTATATAAAGTTGAACAAATCGATACACACGTCCTACAAGGGATAATACATGTAGGATGTGGATTATCACGTAGGATGACATGTAAGACGTGTATGTCTACTTATTCACTTTTGGATGATTTAAGTATCTATTATGCACACCCAAAATTAGAAAATACGATATCAACTAAGACCAAATTAAAAAAAACACATTTATATATATTATGCTTATATAAAACGATTAAAAAATCAATTCACTAAATTTTCGTTATGGATGAGATTTGAGAAGAATTGGATCACATTATTTTGTTGCAAACAAGAAAAAAAAAATTGAACACACCATGATTATTTTATATTCAAGTTAAAATAACATCTTTAGGTCAAGGAATGTTTGCCATTGATTGATTTGAAGTCTTCTTTTGTCATTATTTGGAGAAAGAAAATTTATGATACTAAATTAAATATTGATATAACAATTAAAACAATCAATAACGTGTGGAAAAAAGAGGGTGCAATATTAGAAAATTCAACAAAATATTGTAAATTTGCTATTAATGATGAAGATAACTTAACAAATCAATTTTGTTGGTGTGGTTGGTAAAATCACACTAAATTTATGAAATGATCATATTTTTATAATAATATAAACCTAAAATTGGACACAAATGTGTTTATATTTTATTTTATTTTTAGATACAAAAATATGTGCTCCATTGAGTTCAATATCTTACATGATATTTGAAACTCTTATCTTTACTTTATAAAAAAAATGGGATAATGCACAAGTACCCCCTCAACCTATGCCCGAAATCCCAGAGACACACTTATACTATACTAAGGTCCTATTACCCCCCTGAACTTATTTTATAAGTAATTTTCTACCCCTTTTTAGCCTACGTGACACTAGTTTGAAAAGAAAAGTCAACCATCATTGGGCCCACAAGATAGTGTCACGTAGGTCGAAAAGGGGTAAAAAATTATTGATAAAATAAGTTCAGGAGGTAATAGAACCTTAGTATAGTATAAGTGTGTCTCTGAGATTTCGGGCATAGGTTGAGGGGGTACTTGGGCATTATCCCTAAAAACAATACTACTGTATTTTACTTGCTCATGTTATTAATGTTTTATGTTTTTTACTTTTTCTTTTTGTAAGAAAATGTTTTTAATTTTTCTCCTATTAAATTGATTCAAATGTTTTTAAAAATGTTCTTCACTAATTTTCATCCAATTTAAGAAAAAAAAGATTTTCATGTATAAAGTAAGGTAACCATATTCCAAAAATTCTTTTTCAACCTAACTACCCAACCCCAACTGAGGATCCGACTCTTGACCCTAATCAACATCCTGATTTTCAATTTCAACTCCAGACCTAACTGTCCATCCTGGACCCAACTTTGACCTCGACCCAACCTAGAAACCAAATTCCCACCCCAGTCCCGATTAATGAACCAGACTCCCACCCCGATCCTGATTGAAGATCCCGCCCAATTCAAACCCTGATCTAGAACTCAACTCCCAACTTGATTCTCAGGTCGGACCATGAACCCAGTCTTATAAACTCCAGTTTTGAGATCCAAGTCTCGGCCCTTACCTTGGATCAACCTCGAATCGAGATCCAACTCCCTTTCCTGATCCCAACCGGAGACCTAATTCTAGATTTTTATATTCAAGTTAAAATTTCCTAATATTGAATATTTGTAGAATAAAAATAAATAATAAAAGCTATAAAAATATTATTAAATGGGGCAGCAAAATTGGTACACCCCATGGCATATTTATATTTATTAATTTATTGATTCACTTCTTTGATTGGACTTGTTGCAACTATACCATTAGTTGACTTAAAGTCTTCTTCTGTCATTTTTAGACTGAGAAAAATGATGATACCAAATTAAAGATTGATATAACACAATTGAAAAAATAAAGTGTGGAAAAATAGGGCTGAATATTAAATTATTCAACACAATATTGGAAATTTGCTATTAATAATGAAAACATCTTGACAAATCAATTTTCTTGGTATTAATGAGTACTAGTAAATTAGTTAAAGCTGTGTAATAAGAAAATTCATTTTTCTATCTTATTTACCCAAAAAAAAAAATGATCGAGAATTTAACTCTTGACCATAATAGGAGCCCAACTCCGGATCCTAACCCAGGACCAGACTCCCGATCCACCCCAACTCTAATCAGAGATTCCACTCCCGATCCACACTTTGATCTAGAACTCAACCATGTTCAATTTAGAACCCTTTTGATTATTTTTTAAAATATATATAAATCTTGCTCAATTATACATATCTAAAGCACATATTTAAATTCATTAAAATTTCAGTCATGACTAATATTCATGCAATTTTTATAACAAATGTTACTTAAAATGGGACAACAAAATTAGAACACCACATATATTTTTATTTTTTTTGAATGTAAGCTAGAAATTCAGATAAATAATTTATGCAATTAGTTGACTTGAAGTCTTCTATGTCATTAATTGGAGAAAGAAAATATATGATACCAAATTAAAGTTTGATATAGCAATGTGTGGGGAAAAAAAAGGGGTCCAATATTAGAATATTCAAACACAATATTGTATATTTGCGGGATAATGCCCAAGTATCCCCTCAACCTATGCCCGAAATCTCAGAGACACACTTATACTATACTAAGGTCCTATTACCCCCCTGAACTTATTTTATTAATAATTTTTTACCCCTTTTTAGCCTACGTGGCACTATCTTGTGGGCCCAACGATAGTTGATTTTTTTTTTCAAACTAGTGTCACGTAAGCTAAAAAGGGGTAGAAGATTATTTATAAAATAAGTTCGGGGGTAATCGAACCTTAGTATAGTATAAGTGTGTCTCTAGGATTTCGGGCATAGGTTGAGGGGGTAGTTGTGCATTTTCCCTATATTTGCTAATAATAATAATAATGAAGACAACTTTAGAAACCTTTTTTTTTTTTAATATTAATGAGTCATGATGGATGGTTGTTATCTATTAGTAATATATTGTTAGTTTAAATGTTATGTTTATTTTAATTAATATTTAAATTTTATTGTAACGTATTGTTTAATAACAACGCAAAGTCTCATTATGTGTAACGCTGATTTAACGTGATCATAATGTTACCTTAGTGTTTTCTTCTTCTTTTTATTTTTATTTACTCTTTCCGTTTTAAAAATGATGACCTAGTTTGACTTGGAACGGAGTTTAAGAAAAGAAAAAAAGACTTTTTAATCTTGTGGTTCTAAATTAAAGTTATGTCAAATGTATCAAAATGCCCTTTAATCTTGTGGTCTTAAACATGACACGTGAAAAGTTAAAGTTAAAAGGTAGTCAAAAAGGGAAATGGGTCATTCTTTTTTTAAACAAACTAAAAAGGATATATGGATATTCTTTTTAAAACGGAGGGAGTATTATTTAATAACACACCCCGTGACTGCACGCAGTTGAGGTGCGTGAGATACATTTGGATGTGACGCAAGCCAAATATGTGCACAAAATAACAAAAAAAAATAAATGAGTTCAGAAAATAATAGAACCTTAGTTTAATTAAGGCATGTCTCTGGGGGAGATACTTCTTCTTTTTCCCTTAAACGATTTGGGTTATAGTTAATGTTTTATAGCAAATTTCTGTCAGTCTGTGCTCGCCTCTATCTCTCCTGAATTGGCAAAATACAATCTATTCAAAAGTGATATTCATTAAATTAATACAATATGAAACAATACGTAACACTATCCGTAAAAAAATTCATCATAAGTTCCATTTTGTGATGGATAATTAATATATGATAATTAAACAAGTAAAAACTTCATTAACTTAAGTGAAGGTTGGCTAGTATGTGACAAACTTTATTTTTTAGAAACAAACATCATAAAACAACATGAATTAGGTACATAACGTGTGATGTCAAACAACAATTACATCTATTATTGCAGAATCAGAACAACTCTCTAGCAACTTCACAGACTCAGTTGAGTTCATTGAAGAACTAGTTAAATTGAACTCCAACGAACATGGTTCACGCGATTCAGAGGACCTAGGAGGCGTTTGCAATGCTTGTAAATCGCCTTCAAGCATTTCCACTACTCTAGTCATTGAAGGATGATCGAGTGGATTCATTTGTATGCACCACAAAGCAACTAAAGTCAGCTTCTTTACGTCTTCATGTGTCTCGTCTAGTACTTCAATCTCCTTTCCCTTGTCGAGCTGATCATATATCCAATGTGGGAAGTATTGGCTTGACATATCCTCTCTGGCTACCGAGTTTGTTTTCAAGCCTACGATATCAATGAGTAACATTCCAAAGCTATAAACATCTGCCTTACAAGATATTGGACCAATGCTTCTGTTGATCAACTCTGGAGCTACATAACCAATTGTTCCCCTGACTGCTGTTAGAGTAACAATGCTCTTATCCGTCGGGTATGATTTTGCAAGACCAAAATCAGATAGTTTCGGAATGAAATTCTCATCCAAAAGTATGTTGTGTGGCTTGATGTCAAAATGTAGAATCTGAATGTCACAACCTCGATGCAAGTATTCAATACCTCGAGCAACTCCAAGAGCAATTTCAAACTTTCTTTTCCAACTTAATAGTTCAGCTCCTCCTTCTCGAGGTGTGATGTACTTTTCA